GCAGCACCGCTGTCGTTCGACGCCTCATCCCGATCCAGTTCCACCGGCACGGGCTGGTCATCCACGGGCACCGTCGAGCGTGGCACACTCGGGCGAGTCCCGGAGTTCGACGATCCGCTGGATGGGACCGCAGGCACATTCTCCGTTTCCGGCGAATCGCTACGATCGGCCATCGACAATGCCGAAAGCGACGAGTCGGCCAAGATCGAGCGATGGGCCGGAACGCGATTGCCTGAGCCTAACGGAATGAATTGCGCCACTACGGCCGCGACGATCAACAGCCCCACCGGCACCATCCAGGCGATGTGTCGATCGACGAAAGTTGGCGCCGGCGGTTCGACCAACTGCCACGGCATGCTCGAGCCGCCAGTGGGTTGGATCCCAAAGTGGCTGGCAATGGGAATCAGATCGATCAATAGTGGTGCTGGTTCCTGGTAGCGCTTGCGAGGATCTTTGGCCAGCATACGCCGCATCAAGCTCCACAGCTCATCGGGAATTTCGGGGTTCCAGTCGCGGGGATCGGGGGCTTCATCACCCTGATGCTGAAGGAGCTTCTGAAGCACCGTGCCCTCGGGGAACGGTGGACGCCCGGTGAGCATGAAGTACAGCGTGCAACCCAGCGAGTAGATATCACTCCGCACGTCTGCATTCCGCGGGTCGCGGGCTTGTTCAGGTGAAATGTAATCGAAGGTGCCCAGTGTCACCCCACTGGCCGTCAGATCGTCGTCGGCCCGCTGCACCTGGTGCAATCGGGCGAGCCCCATATCCACCAGCTTCGCCCGACCTTCGTCGGTAACAATGATGTTCGAGGGCTTGATGTCTCGGTGCACCACATTCCGGCTATGAGCATGTTTCAGCGCCTCGGCCACCTGAATCGTGTAGCTCAGGGCCTGTTCGATGCTTAAGGGGCCCGATCGCCCCACCATGTCGCGGACATTGGTGCCTTCGATGAACTCGAAGACGATGTAGTGCAGGCCGCGGTCTTCGCCGAAGAAATAAACTCGAGCAATGTGCTCATGATCGAGTCGGGCGGCCGATTGGGCTTCGTTGCGGAACCGGCGGAGCATCTCGCCGTCGGCTCCCTCGTCTCGTGAGAGAATCTTCAAAGCCACCGTGCGATCGAGCTGGGTATCGTGGGCACGAAAGACGGCCCCCATCCCACCGCCGCCAACGAACTCGCGCAGTTCGTAATGGGCCAGACGTTGCCCCAGCAGTACCCGACCTAAATCGGCGGGCGACATTTTGGCCATCGAGTAATCGACGTCCGATTCGCCCTGTACTGGCAGTGGCTGTTGGTCGCTGATCACCGTCGCTTCTTCGAACGTGGGCAGCGGGGTGACCTGAGGATCCTCAGGCGCAGCACGATCCTCAGGGGCCTCGGGCTCGCGGCGACTGGAATCGTCTTGCTGCATTGCTTCTCATGTTCCAACGGCCCGAGCAAAAGTCGCGGGCAAGGCCGTTCAAGCGGAGATGGGCTCGGCCAGTCCGTAGCGAAGAAGCAGACATCGATTCCGCACTCGATAATTCATCCCAATCCGGGGGCGAATCTCAGCGAAAACGGAATTCTGGCGGCCACTTCTCTCCTTCCGAATCGTAGTTTGAGCCAAATGCGACGTCAACTTTTTAAATAATTGCCGTATCAGCACTTGCGTTGTTTTTCGGGGGCATCCTTGAGCAGCAATCCGCCGAGAAAACAATCCATTGCCCAGGCGATTTGAGCTACCTATACTACCAAACCCCGACCCTAGCAGATTTGCCACGGGCGGTTGCCACGCGTGCCACGAAACTGAAGGACTGCCACCCATGACGCTCGATCGACGCCACTTCCTGAAAAACACCGGTCTTTTTCTCGGAGGCGTCAGCCTTCTGACGGAGCGAGCGATGGCGGCTGACGACAAAAAGGATGACCCGATGTACTCCATTTCGCTGGCCGAATGGTCCCTGCACAAGCTGCTGTTCAGCGGAAAAATGAACCACCTGGACTTCGCCAAAACTTCGAAGGAAGACTTCGGCATCGACGCCGTGGAGTATGTGAACCAGTTCTTCAAGGATAAAGCCAAAGACACCGCCTACCTGGGCGACATGAAGAAACGGGCCGCAGACGCGGGTGTCGCGAGCGTCCTCATCATGATCGACGGCGAAGGGGCCCTGGGCGACCCAGACGCCGAAAAGCGGAAGCAGGCGGTGGAAAACCACTACAAGTGGGTCGACGCGGCCAAGTTCCTGGGCTGCCATTCGATTCGGGTCAACGCCCAATCGAAGGGGGACTACGACGAGCAAATTAAGCTAGCCGCCGATGGTCTGCGACAACTCTCGGAGTTCGCCGCCAAGCAGGACATGAACATCATCGTCGAGAACCACGGCGGGCTCTCGTCCGACGGGAAGTGGCTCACCGCGGTGATGAAAGCCGTGGACCTCGAGAACTGCGGCACGCTGCCCGACTTCGGCAACTTCAGGGTCTCCCGCGACGAGGAATACGACCGCTATGTGGGGGTCGAGGAACTGATGCCCTACGCCAAAGCCGTGAGCGCCAAGAGCTACGCGTTCGATGCCGATGGGAACGATACGACGATCGACTACCTGCGGATGATGAAGATCGTGGTCGACGCCGGCTACCATGGATACGTGGGGATCGAATACGAGGGCAGCAAGCTCAGTGAGCCCGAGGGCATCCTCGCCACCAAGAAGCTGCTGGAAAAAGTCCGCGACGAACTCTCGTCGTAAGCCAAGGCGACCTATAGATCCGGCCGTCTCACGGCGGCCTGAGCTTGCCGGGGCTTCTGCTTGATCTGATCAATCTTTCACAGAGATTTCTGCTGCGCAGTGATCGACTGCGCACTTCGAAACCGCCACCAAAAGCACCTCTCATGCTCACTCTGCGCAAAGCGTTTTCAACAAAATAAAATTTTGTTTTCGCTGGACACTTTGGACCGTGAGAAAAAGTCGCGTGCTTAAATCTTGTGCACGCAAGGGGCTGCTACCGTTCGAGGCACTCATGCCTACTTTGCAGTCACAGCAGTGCAGTCGTCGTAAGTGCTATCACTGCAACGACATTCGTCTTGCACTTGACTGCACTTAATGATCAAAATGTCTCGCGACCATGGAGGTCGGGGAAATGGATATCCAAGAAATCAAGTCAGCAAGGAGTCAAGTAATGGAAATCACAATGACCGAGAAGCCCCAAGAAGTGCTTCGCGTCGCCAACGACCTTTATCGACAAACGCCCGACTGGGTCACGTTTTTCCGAGAGGTCCTGGGGCTCAACGGCATCGTGCGTCAGGTCTATCCTCGTGCCGAAGAAATGGCCGAGTTCGAGCGGACCGAAGAATACTGCGAGATCCAGCAGATGCTAGCCAAGCTTCGCAACCGCGGCGGAGCCAAGCCAACCGACGTCGAGCCGACGACCGTGATCACCGTCCGCCTGCCGAAGAGCCTGCACGACTCGCTCCGCGCCGAGGCCCACGAGCGTCGCACCAGCATGAACAAGCTTTGCATCTCAAAGTTGCTGCAAGTCGTCGACGGACAACTGATCCCGGCCGACGCCTAATGCGGCTACCATAGCTGGCAACCATCCCGACAGGCGTGTGCCACGCTTCGCCGATCAACCAGGCGATGTGCTGGCACACGCCTGCTTTTCTTGCGCGGGCCCAGCGTAGGCCCCAGGCCCTAAGCCGGGGTCGGGCAGCCAAGAAGGACAGAGCAGGAAGGTGGATCGATAAGCCGGGTTTTGTCCTGGCCTCGCGCTAGCGCTGCCACGGGTGACCATTCCTCTAGGACGTCGATTGCCCGACGCCTCAAGCAGCCTACCCGGAGGTCGTAGCGAGCCGAGAAGACTCGCCGGCCGACGCAAGGTCGACCGATGCCCCCTGTTTGGCCTTGCTCCCGATGGGGTTTACCGAGCCAAGCTGGTCACCCAGCCTGCTGGTGAGCTCTTACCTCACCGTTTCACCCTTACCTGGCGAGGCCGAAGCCGCCGCCGGGCGGTTTACTTTCTGTTGCACTTTCCCTGACCTTACGGCCGGTGGGCGTTACCCACCATCGTTCTCTGTGGAGCCCGGACTTTCCTCCCGTCGACCCCGCAGGGCCAACCGACGGCCACCTTGATCCACCTTCCGTGTATGCTCTGTCAACAACACCACGATATCGACGCCGCAAGCCAAAACATAGGGCCGAACTCGACTTCCTGCATCTACGAATCTCCGGGTAAATTCGCCCAAATCCCAAGGCCGAACCCGCTATCTCCCGCCTCCTGCAAACAACCACACCCCCCTCCTGCCAGCGACCTTGAACCACCGCGAACCTCGACGTATAGTTAGATGTCTAATGATTCAACGTCTAACAGGATAGCTAGTGCTCGAATACGATTTTCACTCCGACCTCGGCTATTGGACGCATATTGCCGCCCATCGGTTCGAATGGGCTGTAAATGCAGAGTTGGCCGACGAGGGAATCAGTTACCGTCAGTTTCAGATTCTGGCGTGGCTCGCGCTCGAGGGAGGTCTGTGCCAGGCCCATTTGGCGCAAAAAATGAACGTTCAGCCGCCCACCATTGTCAAAGTGGTGGACCGCATGGAACGCGATGGCCTCATCGTGCGGTGCAGCAGCGGAGGAGATCGCCGTAAGCGAATCATCAAACCTACCAAGAAAGCGGTACCGGTCTGGAAGCGGATCGTAAAGTGTGTGAAACGCGTCCGCCGCGCCGCCGAAGCAGGCCTCAGCAAGGAGGAAGTTGCCCAACTTCGCAACCTGCTGGAACGAGTGCATGACAACCTGGGCGATGGCTCTGAGGTACCCTTGGGCCCGCCGCCCATGGGCGACACCTAACAGAGAAGAAACAAAACGGAGATTAGTCGGCGGCAATTTGGAACGATTGTTGCCTCCCGAAACTCGTGCCCTCGCGGCACGCCCACCTGTAAGTCAGTCGGATTGGAACCGCCGATAGCCCCTGTAGATCGCCAGGTCGATCCATCCAGGGTGCTACTCGCAAGAAGAGAATAGGCATGAGAAATCGTTATCGCATCGGTGCGGCTGCGCTGATGGTAGTGGCTTTGATCGCTACCCTCGGCTGCCAGGAAGGCACCACCTACGTCGCCCCGCCGCCACCCAATGTCACGGTTGCCGAGCCGCTGGAACGTCCGGTTCAGGAATACTTCCAGGCGGTCGGACAAACCCGCGCGGTGAATCGGGTGGAACTCCGCTCGCGCGTCGATGGTTACCTGAAGGAAATCCACTTCAAGGATGGCGACACGGTCGAAGAGGGCCAGCTCCTGTTCGTCATCGATCGGGCCCCGTATGAAGCCGACGTGGCCTCGGCCGAAGCCACGCTCGCGAAAGCCAAGGCACAACTGTTGCTGGCCAACCAGGAGTTGGCGAGATCGCAGTCTTTGGTCGAGCGGAACGCCGTGACCGAGAGCGAACTCGATATCCAAGAGGCCGAACAGGCCTCGGCCGCCGCCGATGTGGCGGCCGCGGAAGCTGCCCTGCGAGACATGAAGCTCGACCTGGGATACACCGAAATTCATGCCCCCTTCGCTGGCCGGATGGGCAGACACAGGATCGACGTTGGCAATCTCGTGCAGAGCGGCACTACCGAACTGTCCACCATCGAGGCCGTCGATCCAATCCACGCCTACTTCACCATTAGCGAATCGGACCTGCTGCGGTTCATGGAAATGCAGCGTGAGGGAAAGATTCGCATCAGCGATGCCGACCCCATCACCATCGAGCTGGCCCTAGGCGATACTGGCGAGTTTGCATTTGCCGGTAAGTTGGACTTCCGCGAGTTCGGCATCAACCCCGTCACCGGCACCGCGCAACGTCGAGCCGTATTCCCCAACCCCGATGGCCGGCTCATTCCTGGACTGTTCGTTCGACTTCGAGCCGCTGTGGGAGAACCCCAACCGCGGCTCCTGGTTGAAGAGCGCGCCGTGGGGGCCGACCAACGCGGCGATTACCTGTTGGTGGTCGACGACAAAAACACCGTTCAGTATCGCCCGGTCACGCTAGGCATCTTAAGGGACGGACTTCGCGCAATCGAAAGCGGACTTCAAAGCGGCGACCACGTGGTGATCAACGGCCTGCAACGCGCTCGCCCCGGTGCCGCGGTGAACCCAGAGGTGGTCGAAATGGGCGGTGATGGTTCAGCAGCCGCAGCCACGGCCAATGCCAAGGCGGCCTCGCGCCGCAGCGTTTCACCGGCCGGCGGCTAATTCGCCTGCATTCGCCATCTTAGTCCGTTTCCGCTTACACGTTCCCCCGTTTAAGAAGCCTTTATGTTCTCGAAGTTCTTCATCGAACGCCCCGTCTTCGCCAACGTCATTGCGGTCATCACCGTATTGATCGGGGCGGTTGCGCTGTGGGAACTTCCAGTCGAACAATACCCTGCCATCACGCCCCCGACCATTCGGGTTGCAACCACTTATCCCGGCGCCAACGCCAGCACGGTTGCCGAGACGGTGGCCACTCCAATCGAACAGCAGGTCAACGGTGTGGAGAACATGCTCTACATGCAGTCGACCAGCTCGGGCGATGGTTCTTACACGCTCACGGTTACCTTCGAGATTGGCACCGACCTCGATCAAGCCCAGGTGCTGGTTCAAAACCGCGTGGCCATTGCCGAACCGCAGTTGCCTGAGGAAGTTCGTCGCCAGGGCGTGACGGTTACCAAGCGCTCCAGCAACATCATCTTGGTCATTTCGCTCACCAGCGAAGACCCCACGATGGATACGCTGTTCTTGGCCAACTACGCCAAGCTGCGTCTGCAAGACGAACTGAGCCGGGTGCCGGGCGTGGGCGAAGTGACCATCTTCGGTACAGCCAACTACAGCATGCGTATCTGGCTGCATCCGCAAAAGATGAAAGCCCGCGGGATGACCGCCGGCGATGTGATTGCCGCCCTGGCCGAACAAAACGTTCAGGTGGCCGCCGGACAAATCGGACAGCCACCCACCCCCGCGGGAAACCCGTTCCAATACACGGTCACCGTGCCGGGACGATTGAGTCAGGCGGAAGAGTTCGAAAACATCATCGTCAAGACGGGCCAAGACACCGAACTCGTCTTTCTTAAAGACATCGCGCGAGTCGAACTCGGCAGCCAGTCCTACGATCAGTTCACCCAGAAACAAGGTCAGTCGAACGCCAACATAGGCATCTTCCAACTTCCAGGGGCCAACGCGGTACAAGTGGCTGAAGAAGTTCTGGCCACAATGGATCGCCTCAGCAGCCAGTTCCCCGACGGCTTGGAATACAGCATTCCACTGAACAGCTCGGCGTTTGTCGAAGCCTCGATCGAAGAGGTCTACAAAACGCTATTCGAGGCCGGCGTGCTGGTGCTGATCGTGATTCTGGTCTTCCTGCAAGACTGGCGAGCGGTGCTGATTCCAGCCACGACGGTTCCGGTGACCATCATCGGTGCGTTCGCCGCGATGTACGCCCTGGGCTTCACCGTGAACATGCTCACGCTGTTCGGCCTGGTGCTGGCCATTGGTATCGTGGTCGACGATGCGATCGTGGTGGTTGAAAACGCCGTGCATCATATCGAACGCGGCGAGGAACCGAAGGAGGCCACGATCCGCGCGATGGGCGAGGTGATCGGCCCCATTATCGGCATCACGTTGGTGTTGTTGGCCGTGTTCATTCCGGCCTCGATGCTGGGAGGCATCACCGGCCAGCTCTACCGGCAGTTCGCCTTAACGATCGCCGCCACTGCCCTGCTGAGTGCGATCAATGCCGTGACGCTCAAGCCCACGCAATGTGCGTTGTGGCTGAAGCCGACCAAAAAGAAGAAGTTCATCCTGTTCCGTTGGTTCGAGTCGGTCTATCGCCTGGTCGAGCACACCTACTTCGCCATCATCCGCCGTTTGGTTCGCTGGGTGGTGCCGGTATTGGTGGTCTTCGTTGGTTTCGTGGCTCTGGCCGGCTGGTGGTATGTGCGACTGCCCACCGGCTTCATCCCGACGGAAGACTCCGGCTATATCCTGCTTTCGGTTCAACTTCCCGATGCGGCCTCCCAACAACGCACCCGTGAAGTGATGGCCGACCTCGATGAAATCCTAGGCTCGGTCGACGGCATCTCCACCTGGATCACCATCGGCGGGCTTTCGCTGCTGGACAACAGTAGCGCGCCAAACGCGGGAACCATCTTCGCCTCGTTCGAAGGGTTTGAGAAACGGGCCGAAGAAGGCAACACCCTCGATGTGATCCTCGGCAATCTGAACCAGAAGCTCGCCCAGATTCAAGAAGCCACCGTATTCGCGTTCGCGCCCCCTGCCATTCGAGGGCTGGGGTTCCGTAGCGGGTTCGAGATGCAGGTTGAAGACCGCGCCGATGTGGGACTGCAAGAACTTCAACAAGTGACCCAAGAAATCGTCGAAGCCGCCAACGGACAAACGGCGCTCACTGGGGTGAACACTATGTTCCGTCCCGGCGTTCCGCAGTTGCATGTTGAAGTCGATCGCGCAAAGGCTAAGATTCTCGACGTCCCGTTGGGCACCGTTTTCGGAACGCTGCAGGCCTATCTCGGTTCGGCCTACGTGAACGACTTCAACAAGTTCGGTCGTACCTATCAGGTGCGTGTGCAGGCCGACCAGACCTTCCGCGCTGAACCCGACGACATTCGCCGACTGCAGGTTCGCACGAACGACGGCGAGATGCTTCCGCTGGGAACGTTGCTCACCGTCAATCGCGCGTTCGGACCTCAAATCATCAATCGCTACAACCTTTACCCGGCCGCCAGTATCTCGGGCACCTATCAAACCGGGTTCAGCTCAGGCGACGCTTTGAACATCATGGAGCAGATTGCCGAAAGCACGTTGCCACGAACCATGGGCTACGAATGGACCGGGACCACGTTCCAGGAAAAACGTGTGGGCAGCGAAGCCATCTTCATCTTCGCCGTGGCCGTGCTGCTGGTGTACCTGGTGCTGGCCGCTCAGTACGAAAGCTGGCTGTTGCCGGTGGCCGTGATTCTGGTCGTCCCACTGGGGCTGTTGGGTGCAGTGGCGGCCGTGTCATTCCGCGGATTGGACAACAACGTCTACACCCAGATCGGCATTGTGCTCATCATCGCACTGGCCAGCAAGAACGCGATTCTGATTGTCGAATTCGCCCGCGAACTGAGGGCACGTGGTAAGTCGATCACCGACGCGGCAGCCGAAGCGGCGAAGATGCGGTTCCGCCCGATCATCATGACGTCGTTCGCCTTCATCCTCGGCGTGGTCCCCTTGGTCATCGCCAATGGAGCTGGCGCCGCAGGTCAACAAGCCCTGGGCACCGCCGTGTTCGGAGGCATGATTGCCGCCACGATCCTCTCCGTATTCTTCGTACCGATCTTCTACGTGGTGTTCCAAGGGCTCGACGACTTCTTCCGCAAGAAGAAGCCGGCGGTTGAAGCGTAATTCGCGGCAGCGCATCATAGGGCCACGGTACTAACCGGGGTTCACTCTCTCTCGCTGCCAGGGCGCTTGGTATGTCTTTAAAGTGGTTCGCTTTCTGCGCGATCATTATTGTATCTCTGGCGGAACACGCATCGGCAGAAGAGCTCACGCTTAACGTCAAGCAAATCACTCATGGCCCGCAGCATCATTTCTTTGGCTACATCGGCCAGAGTTTGACAACGCCCTGGAACGCCAGTGGGCAATACATCCTCTCACTACGCACCAACTTTCACGACCGGATGCCTCGGGCCGAAGATGCAGCCGACGTGGTGTTGATTGATACGCAGAACAATTACCGTGTCATTCCCATCGAGAAAACGCGGGCCTGGAACTTTCAGCAGGGCACGATGTTCTACTGGCAGCCGCAGCACCCGGAGACCCAGTTCTTCTTCAACGATCGCGATCCAGAAACCGGCCACGTGTTCACGGTGCTGTATGACATCGAAGAGAAACGACGTCTGCGAGAGTATCGCTTCGACGATGTGCCGGCGGCCAACGGGGGCGTTTCTCCCGAGGGCGATTTCTTCCTGGCCATCAACTACGGTCGCATGGCTCGACTTCGCCCCGTGACCGGATACCCCGACGCAGCCGACCCCACCGCCGACACTTCTGCCCCCGACAACGACGGCATTTTTCGTGTCGACATCGATACCGGAGAACGGATGCTGCTGGTCTCGTTCCGCCAGCTCCGCGACCTGCTCCGCGATCGGCACGACAACATCGATGAGGTCGGCTTCTACATCAACCATTCGCTGAGCAACCGTACCGGCGAGTTCGTCTACTTCTACGCTCGCGGACGCTATGGCGAGGAGCCAATGGCCGTGAACGTGCCGTGCTCGATTCGCACCGATGGCACCGAGCTGAAAACCCACACCTTCATCGGCGGCCATCCCGAGTGGGATGAAGGTACAGTGGTGATCGGCGCGAAGGACGACCGCCAGGTTCGTTACGACATCGCCCAAGGAAAAATCGTCGGGCAAATCGCCACGCCCGAGATTATCTCCTCGCCCGGCGGCGATATCGCCCTATCACCCAACGCCGACTGGTTTGTCTGTGGCTATTCAACCAAAACGGACAACCGCTACGCCATCTTTCGCCGTAGCAATGGCAGCTATGCCCATTCCCCTGAGTTCTCGCGAGGCCCCCACCACCGCGGAGAACTCCGCATCGACCCCGCACCACGGTGGAACCGCGACAACAACGCGTTGCTGGTGCCCGGCATTACAGCCGACGGAACGCGACATTTGCATCTGATCGAGATTGCCGAACGTTAACAGGCATTGAATCGAATCACTCTTATATCTGCCCAAAGATCCGCCGCAAGTTTCGGTGCCGCAGTCGGAATGCCAGCTTGAAGGTGGGAGAATAGACCGGCCCCAACATCGCGATGCGTGGTTCGAACATCACCGAGTCGGTCACCCGACAACCAAAATCCGTCGGCTCAATCGTGCGTTCGTGCTGCCACATCCGTTGCGAAAGCATCGTCGAGCGTTCAAGAAACCGCCTGCCCGGCTCCACTTCCATCAGGGTGATATCGTCGTGATCCACTGGAAGCACCCGACCGACGAGAATCCAGCTTCGGAACAACCGTTCGCCAGCTTGCCACCGCTCGGTGAAATCTTGCAGAAGATCCTTCGTCCCCTCAGGAAATGTCATCCGCACCAACGGTCTCAGTTCCCGATTGATCCCCTTTGGGCTCATGGCGTGCGCCCACACCGCTTCAGCAGTAGCTGGCAGAGAAGAGGAAAAACTGAATCCGCGCAAGGATGCGGCACCTTTCTACTCTGAAAGTTATTTTTCTGTGCACCAAGCCCTCGTACCCTGTGGCCAAACAACCTCAGTCGCCCTGCGAGTTCTTGTCAACCTTCAATCGAAACAAGGCAAATCCGGTTTCCTCGTGTACTTTCTCTTCGATCAGCTTGAAGCCGTACCGGTCGTAGAATGCCCGCCCCAGAGTGTTCTTTTGGAAAACTTCAACCTCCAGTGTTTCGCGCATCTCACTGACATGTTCCACCAGGGCTCGGCCAATGCCCTGCTTGTGAAACGGTGGATCGACAAACAACGCTCCGACTTCATTCCCGATCATCGCGATGAACCCCACCACACGACCGTTGTGTTCCCAGACCCAAGTCTCGGTACTTGGGAGGTAGAGTTCGGCAATGTTTCGCCGCTCTTGGGCGATGAACTCTGGGCTCAAGAACGGGTGAGCCACTGCAGAAGCGGCTTCCCAGGCGTCAAGCAACTCGTTGAGATCGCCTGATTCATACTTCCGAATCATTGCCATGCCCCTCGATTCAGCCGAAGTGAACGTTTAAACGTGAAGCGATTCGAGGTTAAACGAGAGAACTTTACCCGACGCCCTGATCGGAAAAGGTAAGCTCTTCCATCGTGCCTTTCAATTGGCGCAACGGTTCGACCGGTTCGCCTTCGCGCATCGCACCGAAACGGCTGGCTTGCCAGAGTTCGCCGGAGTTCACGTCCATCGCCGTCAGCCAGCCATACCCGCGGCAATAGGTATCGATGCAGACGACGTGGCCGAGGTCGAGGAGTTCGCCATTCCGCTGTTCGGTGTGGCCAACCACCACTTTGCGACCACTGAAGTGCGGGCCAGGGTACGGATCTTCGAGCAAGGTCCAACGAAGCAGGTATTCAGGTTGCTCTGGCAGCGGCAACTCCGGGTCGTAGTTGGCATGCACGAAGATATGCGACTCGGTTTCGAAGTAAGGCAACGACGTTTGGATGAGCGTTACATGCTCGGCCGGCACCTCAGAGAGTTTGGCCCCAAAGCGATACGAGGTGAGCGTATCGTAACCACCAAACATCAACCACGACTCGAACGCTTCTTCACTCTTGCGTGCCTCGAGGAACATCTGCTCGTGATTGCCCTGAATGAGAACCACCCGGCATTGCCTTTGCAACTTGAGCATGCGATCCAACACCGCGGCCGACTCGTGGCCAAAGTCGATCACATCGCCCAGGAAGACCAACGTGTCCTCCGCCTGGACGCGAATCCTCTCCAGCACGGCATCCAACGCATGCACGCAACCATGCACATCGCCAAGCGCAATGACCCGACCTTTCAAGTGAGATGTCCCCACATCAACAGAAAGCTGCCAGTAGCCCGAACATATTGGCAGAGCACTAATTATATCTACGGTCGAGGTCGCCCTCATGCAAGGGAATTTCCCGAGTTGCAGACTATTCCTCCCCAATATCCTCGTTCCAAAGCTCGGGGTTGGCTTGGATGAACTGCGTCATCAGGTCGATGCAGGTCTGATCGTTCAGCACGGTGACATTGAGACCGCGTTGCCTTAGGTAATCGGTCGGGCCTTGGAACGTGCGGTCTTCGCCGACGATGATGGTTGGAATTTTGTAGAGCAGGGCCGTCCCGCTACACATGTCGCAGGGCGAGAGGGTGGAATACAGCGTCGACTTGGCATACTCGGTGGCCGCAAGTCGGCCTGCGTTTTCGATGCAATCCATCTCGGCATGCAGTATCGCGCTACCCTGCTGCACCCGGCGGTTATGCCCCCGCCCTACGATCTCTCCGTCGATCACCAGCACCGACCCGATCGGAATCCCACCTTCGTCTCTTCCCTTACGGGCTTCTTCAATGGCCGCTTCGAGAAACTTGCCCATGGCTTCCTCCCTGAACATTGCCTGTGCATGGCGTGGTACACAATTCAGCTCCCTGCCGACCTAGCAGATGGAGTGAGTTTATCACGCCCATCTACATTGCGACAAAGTGGGAGTGGCGTCACGCGTATGGGGAACACTTCGATTTGCGTCACCTGCATACGATGCAAGCACACCATTGGGGGTTCTTGCGAAAACACCGAGCACCTAGAGAATGGACTCAACACTAGAGCCGCACCGCAGCTTGACGGAGTATTCAATGCCCCTGCGATCCCTGATCTTTTTCGCCTATTTCTTAGTTCTGCCAACATTTGTGCTTGGGGGTGAAGATGCCGATACGTCGTCGCAGGAGCCTGCTCACGAGCCGATCACCACGATTCATGCGGACATTCCGATCGAGCAACTGCAGATTCTGGTAAAGCCGCTTACCAAAGATGAACTTCAGGTCGAGGCCGATGCCTGGTTTGCGCTGTTGCGTAGCAAAGCCCGTGAGATCGCTGGAATTCGGCTAGGGGTGAAGAAAGCGACGGCAGCTTTATCCGAGCACAATGAAGAGGCCGCGCGAGAGGCCTTGGTAACGGCAGAACAAATCAAAGAGACCGCCAACTCTAACGCCAATGCGGAAGAGAAAGAGATCGTCGAGACGGCGCAGGAGAACTTAGAAATTGAAGTCGCCGCGCCCGATGAGGAGACAGGACCTGCTGCGGTGGCAGAGCAAGAGACACCGGCCGACGAATTGTCTGAGAGTGCGGAAACCGAACCGGCCGGTTCCGATGAAGCTGCCACAGGAGAGATCGAGGAGTCGGCCACTAAGATGAAGAACAAACTGCTAGCCGAGTCGATCGCCTTGAAGGACGAACGCACGGCTATCAGCGACCGCCTAAAAGTCGTGCTCGACTCTCTGGAAAGCAAAGGCGGCGACGTCGAAGAATACCGTCGCTATTCCAAGGCCGTGTCTGGAGTGGAACTGGACACCTCCGATGCGGCAGCCGCGTGGGCTGGACTGGTTGGTTGGGTCACCTCGAAAGAAGGTGGGCAGCGCTGGGCCTGGAATCTGCTGAAATTCGTCCTGGTGCTGGTCATCACCTACTTCGTCGCCAAAGTCATCGCCGCAATCGTCAACTGGTTGCTGGAACGTAAGGTCAAGCTTTCTCAACTGGCCGAGCGGCTCATCTCCAGCACCATTCGCAATGTCTTCATGTTGATCGGCTTCGCCATCGCATTGACCGCGTTGGAAATCGACATCACCCCCATCGTGGCAGCCATCGGGGCCACGGGCCTGGTAGTTGGTCTGGCGCTTCAAGGCACCCTCAGCAACTTTGCCAGCGGGCTGATGATCTTAATCAACCGCCCCTTCGATGTCGGCAACGTCGTCACCGCCGGTGGAGTCACCGGGGTGGTTCGTCAGATGAATCTCGTTTCCACCACGTTTCGCACATTCGACAATCAGACCATCCACGTGCCGAACAACGAGATATGGAACAATGTGATCACCAACATTACAGCGAACCACACCCGTCGCGTCGACCTGGAGTTCTGCATCGGGTACGGCGACAACTTCGAACAGGCCGAGCAGATCATCAAGGAAGTGGTCGACGCACACGAACTAGTGCTCAACGAGCCTGAACCAGTGGTCGTAACGCACGCCCTGGCCGATTCGTCGGTTGACATCGTTTGCCGCCCCTGGGCCAAAACTGGAGACTGGTGGCAAGTGAAGACCGACATCACCCGCGAGGTGAAACGCCGCTTCGATGAGGCCGGCATCTCGATTCCGTACCCGCAACAAGACATTCACGTCTACAGCGCCAACGGAAACGCCGAAGGATTCCCTCAACCGTCCTCGCGATCGTGAGTGAATTAGCCGATAGCTTCAATACCAGGTGCCACACAGCCCGTTGAAGAATGCTTTGGCCCCCGTACGCAGGTTGTGCACAGAGTAGCCACCCTCCTGCACGACCAGCGTGGGATAACCCAGTTGCCCGATGCGTTTGGCAATTTCAGCCATGCCCCCGGCACTCACGGTAAAGGTGCCGGTGGGGTCGCCCTTCATGATGTCGAACCCCAGCGACAGCACGAGGTACTCTGGATGAAACTTCGTCACCAGCGCTAACGCCTTGTCGAGTGTCTCCAGATATTGCTTCTCGTCTTGCCCTTGGGTTAGCGGGAAGTTGCGATTGAAGTTCAATCCCTCCCCCTCACCACGTTCGTCGGCATAGCCTGAGAAGTTAGGGTACGCCGAACGCGGATGCCCGTGAATCGAGATCGTAAACACGTCAGCCCGCTGGTAGAAAATGTCCTGCGCGCCGTTGCCATGGTGATAGTCGATATCGAGCAGTGCGACCTTGCCGTCCTTCGACAGCTCGTGGGCGGCAATCGCAGAGTTGTTCAGATAACAAAACCCGCCAAAGATCCGCCGCTCGGCATGATGGCCCGGCGGTCGACATAACGCGTAGGCGAAGCGATCCCCCTGCTTGACGAACTCAGCAGCCGTCAGAGCACAATCCACTGCCGCTCTTGCTGCGGCGTAGGCATTCTGTGTGAGCGGTGTGAAGGTATCGGCACAGAAATACCCCGCGCGATCTTCCAATTCTTTCGGTCGTCGCTCAGGGCGGCGGATTGGGAACACCTCAGGATAGACCAACGCCTTCGGTCCCAGCCGCTTACACACGGCGGCCAAGTACGAAACCAGATGCGGGTCATGCACCGCCCGAATGTACGACTCGCTGAACTTCTTCGGCGGTACGCGCTCCACCGGCAGCCCGGCCAGCCCCTTCAACACCGCATCCACGCGCACGGGCCGTTCGACGTAGCCCTTTTCTTTCAGGTGGTGAATCTGATGCCGCTCGGCGACCACCAGCTTCAATGGGCGAATCCACCGACCACCTTTGGGCGCTGTGTCGCCTTGTGCAACTTCCTTCGCTTGCTTTCGTAGTCTTAGCGGGTCGTCTTTGAACGAATTCACGATCCGCCGCACGAACGGGTCGTCGGGCGAATAGCCAAACTGAGCGACCAAGATCCGCCGCACGGCCTTGCGAGCGTCGCTTCGCCTCAGGGGGGCGCCGCGTCCCAGGTCATCGTAGAGCAGCGACGTAATGTAGTTGTCGTTCCGGGCGTTGGGGTCGACATCCCACTGCGTGCCCTCGACGGCGTAGGCCCCCAGCCGTTCGTAGAATCGCATTCGCTTGCGATTGGTCGGCAACCGCTTGGGGTTGTCAACTTTGTCCGGCTCCACCGGCGGCACGTCGAGCAACAGCCCTCGGGCACCCTTGTGCTGCAACAACTCACGCAGCGATTCGTACAGAGCACCACCCAGCCCACGCGCGGGTCGTTTGGGATCGCTTGCGATGTACTGCAGATAGCCGAATTGAATCTCGGGGAAGTAATACGTGAAGGTCATCCCCGTGACCCGTTGCTTCGCATCAACGGAGATCAGCATCACCGGAAGAAAATCGAGCCGCGCCCGATCGACGATCATCCGTTCGATCTTGTCGATCGCCTCGGGCTCTTCGGGAAATGCGGCCTTAAACAGCTCGCGAGCCTCGGCAAACTTTCGCCTCTCCGGCTCAGCGGCCAACTCAAAAACCCGCTGAAAGCGAATCATCGACGTGTGACGTTAGCGTCACCCTCGACCACTTAAAAAGGGCCGGTGCGCCCACCAACCAGTGAGGCATTTTAATCACGCGTCAATTTCGCGAAATGGGGTAGTTTCGAATTTTCTAGCCGCTTGCCAGCAGAGTTCTGTGACAGCTACTCCAATATCCACCCTAAGGTCTACGCTACTTGTCGCAAGCATTCACAAATCTGCGGAGGCAAGAGAAAGACCAAGGGCTGCCTGCGTCGGCGACGCATCAGCTAAGCGAGTACGTGCTGCGAACTAGGGGTCTCGCCGTGTCGCGCGGCGGCGAGACCCCCACTCACAATCAAGCAACGCTCTTTGACAGCCGCACTTCAACTTGCCCGGAACCAACGTCGACCTTGATAGCCCACAAGACACACCGCCGAGATGAGCAGTAAGACAAAAGTCCCCGGCTCTGGAACAACAGAGTAAAAGCCTGTCGCGAACGAACTCTGTGTCAGATTGGATGGAGACGATGGCTGGGGCACGGAGTTCAACGGAATGAAGCCGGCCCCCATATCTGCTACGAATTCCCAGTTGAGCGTGTAGTCAAGTCCACTGGAGTTGTCGGCGACCGCACCTAACCCGGCGCCTAGTCCTACAGTGGTGGGATCAATCCATGGATTAGCACCCAGACCGGTGATCGTCATTCGCAACTCAATGGGATAGTTGCCGCTCGGGGGATCACCTCCACCACCTGGGCTTGTATAGGGCGAGGAGACTCCCCAAGTAGCTGTCGTACCTGAAGCGCTTAGAAAGGACAGTGCATGCAAACTGCCGTCCAATCCCGCGGCAAGAGGGCCGTAGTTCGTCTGGTCGAGACCGAAGTACAGCTCAACGAATTCATTTGTATCGAAGCCAGAATAGTCCCAAGTCGCCAGAGCGTCTGCTCCCGAAACGCCGCCTGTGTTCACGAATGTGTTTCCGCCGGGAGCCGGATAGACTGGCCCCACGGGTGCCGCGACTAGGGTTGAGGTGAACATGCTTACAATCGTAGTGGCAATCATACTTCGGCAGTTCATCACGAGCGTCTCCTTCGAATGCGAACTTCTTGCGAGCCGTGTTCAATCCTCCCACCAATCAAATAGGCGTTGAAATTCAACCGAAGCGGACGAAAAAACTTCCGAAAAATTACATCTTCCACTTATAAGTCCATGGCGGTTTTGCGACTTAGCATTTGCAGTGTAGGTAGCCAACCGGTTCAATCCAAAGATCGCTGAGATGTTCGAGGTGCGATTACATGCCGTGTGGCCAGGGCACATGAAAGACAAGCTCAGTAGCAATGAGCAGAGCGCCCAATCGCCGGACGAGCTTCCCTTGCTTGCCCTTCCGAACGCAGACCACGACCGCATTGCCAAACCGATGCGGCAAACTGAAGCAACCAGCGAGAAGACTGGCTGTCGCTGGCTAGACAACTAGAACGTGCAACAAAGCAATTGCACGCGAAAGAATTACCCCGTCACCCGGCAACCTTGCCAGCTATCTCTTCGCTGGAACTCGGCGTGAACCGCTTCGCGAATTGCCGGCTTGTCCAAGCACCAGGCAGGCCCGATGAGATAGTCTTTGGGCACATCGCCACTGATGCGTTCCACGCGTACGGTTGCGGGAATGCGTTCGAGAAAATCAACCAGCAAGGTGATGTATTCTTTGAACTCCAGCAGCCGCACCTTGCCGCTTTCCACGTCGGAGGCCATAGGTGTGTTTCGCACGGCGTAGAGATTATGGATCTTAATGGCGTCAATCTTCAGTCTGGCGACTTCGTCGGCGGTGTACATCATGTCTTCCGGCGTCTCGCCAGGCAGCCCTAGCATAATGTGAACGCCAATCCCAAAGTTGCGGTTCCGACTCCGCTCAATTCCATCGCAGGTGGCCTCGTGCCCGTGACCGCGGTTCATCCACTCCAGCGAACGATCGTGGGCCGTCTGCATTCCGTATTCAACCAAGAGATAGGTCTGGTTGGCCATCTCGGTGAGTAACTCGAGCACATCGTCGGGCACACAGTCGGGACGCGTACCAATGACCAGCCCCACCACCTTCGAGTGCTCGAGGGCCGCCTCATATAAAGGTCGCAATCGTTCAACCGGGGCGTACGTGTTGGTGGCCGGTTGGAAGTACGCCAGGAAGCGATCGACCTTGTACCGCAGCTTGAGCCGGCGGATGCCCTCTTCGATCTGCTCGATGATTTCAGCCCGACGCGTGCGGCGGCTGGGGCTGAAGCTGCGATTGTCGCAGAACACGCAGCCCCCCTTGGCCACGGTCCCATCAACGTTGGGGCATGTCATCTTAGCGTCGACGCTCACGTGTTGGACACGTTGCCCGAACTGCTTGCGCAGGTAGAAGTTATAGGCATAATATCGCAGCCCCGCCTCGCGCCAGGGCGGCGTGTTTTCGACTTCCGGGAGTTGTCGTTTTGTTGACGTCACTCGTTTACCTACCTAGACTTAACTCCTAATTCATTGCAGATCATCCTAAGGGGGCACTTGGCATCGGCTCAAGAGAGTAATTCCATGTACGGCGAACTTATCCCACTCGGCGGCGGCGACCCGATCCCATTATTGAAGAAAGACCTACTCATAGGTCGCCGCGAAAGCTGCGCGATTGTGCTGCGTTTTCCGAATGTTTCAGCCCATCACTGCCGCCTCACCCTCAATGGTGGCTATTGGTACGTGAAAGACGAGAACAGTCGCAACGGTGTCAAAGTGAACGAAGTTCGCGTTACCGAGAAGCGGCTCGATCCCGGCGACACGTTGTCGGTCGCTAAGCATCGCTACGAGATTCAATACTCTCCGGCAGAGCTTGGCGCGGTTGGTCCTCCGCCGGCCGACGATCTTTCGTCCGACATCTTCAACCGCTCGCTGCTCGAACGCGCTGGGCTCAGCAAGAACGATCAGGTGCAAATGTCCGGCAGTGGTCGCTCACGTCGCTACGATGTGATGAACGACGGCGCCGGCCAAATCAAAGACCCCAACCGGCCTTCGTAAGAGTGGGATAGGAAACACTAAGTACTGAATGCGCCACCGTTACGCGCGGACATTCTGCAACAGTGTCAGCACCCGGTGTTCGGCCGATCGGCAAGGTCTGGTAAACTAGCAGGCCATGGCCAAGAAGAAACGGAAAATTCGGGCGACCTTTCGTAAGAACCGCGACTCGCGTACGCGGGACGGCGACTTCACCCAGCGTTACGCCCAGGACGAAGAGCAGACCGAAAACGTCCGCCAAAGCGAACGCATCAGCGGTAAGGGGGAGCTCACCCGCAAGCGAACCGTTTTCGCCAGCGACGAGGACGGCGAAGAGTTCGACCTGCAGATCGACGAGGCCGGCAGCCTCACCGGTCGGGTGCTCAGCGTGCGAGGACTGTTCAGCACCGTCGATGCTGAAGACGGAAAGCAATACGAATGCGCCACGCGGCGGTTGCTGAAAACCCTCAGTACCGATAAGCGGCATGTCGTGGCCACCGGCGATCTGGTGGTGTTCCGCCCCGTGGGCGAGGACGAGGGGATCATCCTCAAGACCGAGCCGCGTCACGGCACCATCAGCCGCACCAGCCGGGGCCGACAACACGTGATCGTCACTAACGTCGACTTGTTCGTCATCGTCACCAGTGCGGCCGAGCCCTATTTGAAGCCGCACCTGATCGATCGCTTTCTGGTCACTGCCGAAAAGGCCGGCATCGAGCCGTTGATCTGTATCAACAAGATTGACCTGGTCGATCCGGCGTTGCTGCAACCGCTGGTGGGGGCCTATCGCCAAATCGGCTACACCACGCTGCTCACCAGCATGGTCACCGGACAAGGCATTTCCCGGCTGCGGCAACTCCTTCGCGGACAGGAAAGCGCCGTCGTGGGGCAAAGCGGTGTGGGTAAGTCTTCACTGCTCAATCGAATCCAAAAGGGGCTCGATCTCCGCGTGGGCGCCGTCAGTGCCGAGTCGCAGAAGGGTCGCCACACCACCACCACGGCTACCCTGTGGCCGCTGGAAGGTGGAGGGTACATTGTCGACACGCCCGGCATTCGCCAGTTCGAATTGTGGGATGTGATCCCGGAGGAAATCGCCGGCTTCTTCCCCGACCTGCGGCCCTTCGTCAGCGGCTGCCGGTTCGCCGACTGCTCGCACACCCACGAAGAAGACTGCGCCGTGAAAGACGCCGTGGCCGACGACCTGGTGAACGCCCGACGGTACGAAAGCTATTGCCACATGTTCGCAGGCGACGCCATCTAACCGTCGCCGAACAGTCCCACCACCAGCCCCACCGCAACCCACCCCAGAGCAACGCCCCGATGGATCGACCTCGCTCATCAACTCCAGTCGCGGCCGAGTTCACCTGGCAGGCCGTGCTGTTGGGCGTGGTGCTTTCGGTGGTGATGGGCGCGGCCAACGTCTACTTGGGTCTGCGGGCCGGCATGACTGTATCGGCTTCGATCCCGGCGGCGGTTGTAGCGACCGGAATTCTACGCGGGCTCATGCGAAGGCAATCGTTGCTGGAAGCCAATCTCGTGCAGACCAGCGCCTCGGCCGGAGAGTCGCTGGCCGCGGGAATCATCTTCACGATGCCTGCCCTGATCATCGTGGGCCTGTGGGATTCGTTCGACTACTGGACCACCACGCTCATCGCCCTGGCCGGCGGATGGCTGGGAATCTTGCTCATGATTCCCATGCGCAGGGTCTTCGTCGTCGAAGACAAAGAGCTGCAGTTTCCTGAAGGGGTCGCCTGTGCCGAAGTACTGAGGGCCGGCGACAGCGACTCCAGCGGAACGGCCGACGTAATGAAGGGCCTCGCCGTGGGGGCCGTCTTGAAGTTGGCCACTTCTTATGTCGAGGTGCTTCGTGAAAGTGTCTCTCGAGCCGTCTTCGCGCGGGGACACGTGTTTTACTTCGGCTCCGATATCTCGCCCGCACTGTTGGCTGTCGGTACGATCGTGGGCCTCTCGATCTCGGTGCAGATCTTTCTCGGCGGCGCCATCGGGTGGTTGATCGCCATCCCCATGTTCAGCGTTCCGCCTAATGCAGAATCCCCCGTCGATGCGGCCTACGGTCTGTGGAGCACTCAAGTCCGCTACATCGGGGTCGGGGCCATGCTTGTCGGTGGTGTGGTTTCGGTATGGCGCGTCCGTAACGGGCTGGTTCGCGCGGTGACCGAACTGCTCGAACAACTCGGAGGTTCAACTTCCGGAACCAAAACCGAACAAGAGCGAGACATCTCCGGCACGGCGATTGTCTTGCTGGGGTTGGCCTCGTTTGCCACCGCGGGAATGGTCTACTTTGAAGCTTTGAACCAAGCTGTATTGATCACCGTGTTGGCCTTATTCGCGATGGCCGTGATGGCGTTCTTCTTCAGCGCGGTGGCCAGTTACATCGTGGGACTGGTGGGCAACTCGAATAGTCCCGTCTCGGGCATGACCATCACCGCCGTGTTGCTCACCGGTTTGCTTATCTGGACGAGCGGCTACACGGGCCCCGAAGCCATGATGGCCACCCTCGGCGTGGCCGGCGTGGTGTGTTGCGTGGCCTGCACCTCCGGCGATGTGTGTAACGACTTGAAGACAGGTCACATCGTCGGTGCATCGCCCCGACGGCAACAGATGATGCAGATCATCGGCGTTGCGGTGGCGGCCTTCGTGATGGCGCCGGTCATGAAGATCCTGCACGAAGGCTCACTCCGCGCGGGCAAGGGCGGGCTCGGTTCGGCCGACCTCCCTGCCCCGCAAGCCGGGCTGTTTGCCTCGCTGGTCGAAGGCTTCTTCGGCGACGAACAACTCCCCTGGCAAATGGTCGCCATCGGGGTCGGTCTCGCCCTGGTCATTCTCGCCGTCGACCTGCTGCTGGCCAAGAGTGAATCGACCTTCCGGCTACACGTGATGCCGGTGGCTGTGGGCATTTACCTGCCGCTCTCGCTTTCAGTGCCGATCTTAATGGGCGGATTGGTAAACTTCGCGATCGTGCAACGTACGCGGCGGAAAGAAAAAGCCGTGAAAGACTCGGCGCTCAAACGTGGCGTGCTGATCGCCTCGGGGATGATCGCCGGAGAGTCGCTGTTGGGCGTCGGCTTGGGGTTCATCCGCTTCGTCGATTGGGCCCCCCCGAACCTCGGAGAATATGCAACCGAACAGTTCGGCCTGGCCCCCGGAGTGCTCGAAGCCGCCTCGGTCGTGGCCCTGATGGCCGTAATGTCCTGGATCGCCCTGGGCAGAATTCGGGCCGAATAACGAGTTTCGTTCATCTCCAGGGCCACCGATTTGGATGCAAAATATTCCGCACTTAACCCGTGAACCTGACTTCACTTGCCCCTGTCTGATGAATAGGCTTTTGATACGCGACGGCAGGACTCCTTTGTCCCCGAACTGGTCGCGGTGGTAAAATAGAGTAGTGCCCGTCGCGTAGGGAATTGACTCCGGCGGCGGAACGGTGTTTCACCAAATCCAGGAGAAATTGCTTGCCTGCGAAAGAACTGAATCGCACGGATAGTGTGGACCAGGAAGCGGCCGTATTGGTCGGGGTCTCTCTCAACGGAAGTGACAGCCCGAAGGACCTGCTCGAAGAACTCGAGGGGTTGTCTGAAACCGCAGGCACCCGCGTCGTGGGTCGCCTCACTCAGCGTCGCTCGACGCCTGATAAAACCACTTACCTGGGCAAGGGTAAAGTCGAAGAACTCGTAGAAGTCGTACACGGCACCGACGCCGACGTGGTGATCTTCGACAACGATCTCTCTCCCGCTCAAACCCGCAACTTGGAGCGGGCCCTCGATGTCAAAGTGATCGACCGCAGCGAGTTGATCCTCGACATCTTCGCCAGCCGCGCCCAAACGCACGAAGCCCGCCTGGCTGTAGAGTTGGCCCAATTGCAATACTCCCTACCCCGCTTGAAGCGAATGTGGACGCACTTGTCGCGACTCAAGATGGGTATCGGCATGCGTGGCCCCGGTGAAAAGCAACTTGAGGTGGACCGCCGCCTGGTCGAAAAGCGGATTCACGACCTGCAGACAGAACTGTCCGCCATCGAGCGTCGCAAAGAACGCCAGGTGGCCGCGCGACGCGAGCACATGACGGTCTCGCTGGTCGGCTATACCAACGCCGGCAAGAGCACCCTGCTGAACAAACTAACCGGTGCGGGCGTGTTGGCCGAAGACAAACTCTTCGCCACGCTCGATACCCGCACGCGACGTTGGCATCTGCCCGGTTGGGGCCCCGTGCTGCTGAGCGACACGGTCGGGTTCATTCGCGACCTGCCTCACCATCTCATCGCCAGCTTCAAAGCCACGTTGGAAGAAGCCCGGCGGGCCGACCTGCTGTTGCACGTGGCCGATGCGTCGAACCCCAATGCCGAACATCAAATCCGCTCGGTGTACGCCGTGCTGGAAGAGTTGGGCATCGAAGAGAAAGACACGCTGTTAGTGCTGAATAAGGCCGATTCGGTCGACCGGACCGATGTGGAAGTGCTGCTGCAGCATTATCCGCACGCCATCGCCATTAGCGCGCGAAGTGGCGAGAACCTCGCACAGCTTTCCGCCGCCGTAAGCGACGCCCTCAGTGCTGGCTTCGCCGAAGTCGATGTGGAAACCGGCGTCGAGAATGGCCGCTTGCTGGCTTTCCTGGCCGCCAAGGGTGAGGTCTACTCGAATCGCTACCACGACGACTCACGAGTGACCGTGCATTGCCGACTGCCGAGGCGGTTCCTGGGACAGATCGACAGCCCGGGCACCAAGATTCGTAGGCATGCCGATGCTTCCAGCCTCGGCAACGACGCCTCCCGGGTTGCGGAATCGATTGAAGACGTGGCATAACTTGCGCCACAGATCATCTTCGTCCCCGTTTCCGCTCACGCTCGAGTTCCCATGGCCAGTCGTACACTCAAGGGCGCTCGTGTTGTTGTCACAGGCGCTTCTACGGGGATCGGTCGAGCACTGGCCGCAGAATTGGCAGCGGCCGGAGCTTCGCTGCTCGTCACCGCCCGCCGGCAGGAACTCTTGGACGAGCTGGCCGAAGAGCTTCGCAGGGATGGAGCTACTGTCGAAGTCGTCGCTGGCGATCTGACCGAAGCGACCGTTCGCGAGTCGATTATCGAACAGGCGATCGAGCACTTCGGTGGAATCGATATCCTCATCAACAATGCCGGCGTGGGGGCCCTGGGGCGGTTCATCAATGCCGACGAAGCCCGACTGCGACGGGTGATGGAGGTGAACTTCTTCGCCCCCGCCGAATTGATTCGCCTCGCACTGCCCACGCTCCGCAAGGGCACGAACCCGATGGTCGTAAACATCGGGTCGATCCTGGGCCACAGGGCATTGCCCCGCGTGAGCGAGTATTGTGCCAGCAAGTTCGCCCTGACGGGCCTCAGCGAATCGCTCCGCGGCGAACTCGTCCAGATGGGGGTCGACGTCCTGCTCGTCTCCCCCGGCACCACGCAAAGCGAATTCCACGGCCAAATGATCGAACGACAAGGCGAAACCCCCTGGGGACAAGCCGAAGGTGTTCCGGCCGAAGTGGTGGCCCAGCGAATCGTAAAAGCCATCCGCAAAGGCCGCCGACACATCATCCCCGACCTCCGCGGTTGGGTGTACGTGCTCGCCAACCGCACCGTGCCCGGATTGTTAGATCGCTTTCTGGCCCGGTACGGATAGTTCGCACCTGACGCGCCGGTGCCATTTTCCTGCTTCCAAAAATAATTCCAGGTATTTCTAGAAAAGCCTAGCAAGATCCGGCTTGTCCGAGCGAAAATAGGCCAGCAGCGAGATCTCATACTCCATCGGGGCCGGCAGGAGAGCTACCGTGAACGAAGCTACAAATCTCTCGAATAGCAGCCAGATCATCGAAACACTCTCGCAACAGCCCGAGTTGATGCTGGCGTTCCTGCTGGGCTCGCTGGGAATCGTCGCGGTCACCGCCATCGCCATATCGGCCATCTTGGGTTCGAAGTGGAAGAAGGTCCGGCAGTACGAAGAACTCAATGCCCTGAAGCTGCAGATGCTCGATCGTGGCATGTCGGCCGAGGAAATCTCACAAGTGGTCTCCGCGGCACCACGCAATACGTGGTATGAACGTGTGGCCGAAGATGCCATGAAACGCCATAAGTGTGGCCCGAAACGCGAATTCGTGCGTCACTAACGCGCCGTCGAACCAGTCGAGGCAAGGATGCCTGAACTTCAAACGCTGCTCAACCGCGTGAAGCAACGCCGGCAGTCGTCGCCGGTGGTGCGAGCCGCCATGCGAGGCTTGTTGCTCTCCTGGAAGGCAGCCCGCTGGTTTCCAGGCACGCAGTACCTGCGCGTGAAACTCACCGCCGACGGGCACCGGTTCTGGATTCGACCTTTCTCTTATGACGACCTGCTCACCGTCTCGCCCGATTATGAGTCGATCCTCAACCGCTGGCGCCCCCAGCCGGGCGATACCGTGATCGACGCCGGCGCGTTCATCGGCCGACACACTTTGGCCTACGCACGTGATGTTGGTCCAGAGGGTCGTGTGATCGCCCTCGAACCACATCCGGCGAACTTCCAACTGCTCAAGCGAAACGTTGAGGCCAACGGATACAAGAACGTCACCTGCGTACAAGCCGCCCTCGCGGACCACTCGGGACAAGGCCGACTGGCCTACGACCGCGAGACCTCAACCAGTGCCCTGGCAACCGGCCAAGCCAGAACCGTACCGGTGCAAGTCCGCCGCCTCGACGACTTACTGAGCGAACTGCAAGTGTCGCGAGTCGACCTGATGAAGATCGACGTCGAAGGGGCCGAACTCGAAGTGCTAGAGGGCGGCGATCGTACGCTCTCCCGAGAACCCCGACCGCGCTTCATCATCGAGAATCATCACGTCGCTTCGACTGACTGCCCCGTCTTGCGGTTGCTCAAACACCGCGGCTACGAGGTGGAAACTGTTTCCGATAACGACCGGTACTTCTACGTAACCGGCCACGATGCAAGCTCCGAGGCTAAACTGTCTACGGACGAAGCGACCGACAAGCGGAGCAGCTCGCGTCCTCAGTGAGTGCGTTCTACCCGGGCTGCCGGGGATGCCCGTGACTTAAGTTAGGCCTGCCGATAGAATTTCGGCGTCCATGAGTCATGATCTTCGCGTGACGACGAACCCGGCCGAGCGGCTGCTGCAACTGCCCTCGCGACTGGAATCAGCAACGGACTTCGCGGAAGTGATCGCCAGCCTAAAGTCAGGCCACGGGGCGACGCTAGACGGAGTCTGGGGCTCAAGCCGCGCGCTGGTGACGGCCGCCCTGGCCGAAAATGCCCCCAGCACGCTTGTGGTCGTCTTGCCCGAGGCCGCCGAAATCGACGGCTACCTAGACGATCTCGAGATGTTTTCAACCGCCGCAGCGGTGTCGTTCCCCCCGCAAGAAACGGCCCCCGGCGATGAGGCGTTCGGCGACGAAGCCAGCGGTCAGCGACTGCGGCTGCTCAAACAACTGGCCTCCGGCACCCAACCGCCGGTCGTGGTCACTTCGATCCAGAGCCTGCTACAGCGGTTGCCAACCCCGGCTGAGCTCACCGGCAGCACGCGAACCCTGCGGGTAGGCGAGTCGCTCGACCTCGATGCGTTCGTTCGCTGGTTGCTCGAACGCGGCTTCACGAACATGACCGCCGTGGAATTGCCCGGCGAGTTCTCACACCGCGGCGGAATCTTGGATCTTTATGCCATCGATTGGGAAGCACCAGTTCGCATCGAGTTGTTTGACGACGAGATCGAATCACTTCGGCAGTTCGATGTGGCCCATCAGCGAAGCCTGGCTACGCTCGACGAAGTGGACGTGACAGTGGTGAACCGCGCAGAGCCGCTCGATCATCTTACGTCGTACCTGCCGCGAGACGCTTGGTTCTTAATGGTCGAACCGCACGACATCGACGAGGCGGGGAAGGCCTTTCTGAATCGGGCCGAAGACTTGCAGTATTACCACAGTACGACCGCCGTGATGAAGGAGATCTTGCGTTTCCCCTCGGCCACGGCTGCATCGGTGGCCGCCGACTCGCTGGAAGCGACGTGCCGGCTGAAGATCGAATCGGTCGAACGCTTTAGTGGCGAGATCGGCCGCGTGCGCGATGAACTCGACGCCGCCGGCCAAGGGCAAGATGTGTTCGTCATCGTGCAGAATGAGGCCGAAGCCAAACGGCTGAGCGATGTCTTCGGCGAAACCCAGGTGATGACCGAGGGCCGGCTGCACTTCCCCATCGGGCGTCTGCAGTCGGGCTTCCGACTGGTCTCAGAACAAACGGTGCTTGTTGATAGCAACGAGCTGTTCCAAAGGGTCGATCTCGTGCGGCCGGTACGCCGCCACATGGGTCGGGCCATCGATAGCTTTCTGGAACTGCGGCAAGGCGACTTAATTGTCCACCTCGCGCACGGCATTGGCCGCTATCTGGGACTGAAGCTGCTCGAACGAAGCGATCAGGTCGAAGAGCACTTGGAACTCGAGTTCAGCGGCGGCACCAAGGTCTACGTGCCCAGCACCAAGATCGAACTGGTGCAGAAGTACGTCGGCGGCACCAAGTCGCGGCCCACATTGGCCAAAATCGGTGGGCGGAGCTGGATCCGTCAGAAAGAACGCGCCGAACAGTCGGTCACCGACCTGGCCGCTGAAATGCTGGAGCTGCAAGCCGCGCGGGCATCGCGCCCGGGCATCACTTTCCCGGAAGACACCGAGTGGCAAACCGAGTTCGACGCCGCGTTCCCCTACGTCGAAACCAAAGACCAACTCTCGGCCATCGATGCCTTGAAAAAAGACATGTGCCAGCCCCAGCCCATGGACCGCTTGATTTGTGGCGACGTGGGTTACGGCAAGACCGAAGTCGCCATGAGGGCCGTGTTCAAAGCGGTCGACAGTGGCTATCAGGTGGCAATCCTCGTGCCAACCACCATTCTGGCCGAACAGCACGGTCGCACGCTCCGCAGCCGCATGGCCGAGTTTCCCTTCGACATCGCAGTGCTGAGCCGCTTCCGTACCAAGAAGGAACAGAACAAAGTCATCGAGCGGCTGGGCGAGGGTTCGGTCGATATCGTCGTCGGCACGCATCGCCTCGCCCAGGGTGATGTGGAGTTCCACAACCTCGGGCTTGTCATTATCGACGAAGAGCAACGCTTCGGCGTTCAAGTGAAAGACCGCTTGAAGACATTGCGATCGACCGTCGATGTGCTCACCCTTACCGCGACCCCCATCCCGCGAACGCTCCATATGTCGCTGCTGGGGTTGCGTGATATCTCGAACCTGGAAACTCCGCCTGAGGATCGCTTGGCGGTGGAAACCAGGGTCACTCGCTTCGATCCCGATCTCCTTCGTCACGCCATCCTGCGAGAGCTGAACCGCGGCGGTCAGATTTATTTCGTCCACAATCGGGTGCACGACATCGAGAAGGTCGCCAGCCGGCTGCGTGAGATCGTCCCCGAGGCCACCCTTGGCATCGCTCACGGACAAATGCCCGAGGGCGAACTGCAGGAGGTAATGCTGGGGTTCGTCGACCACCAGTTCGACATTCTGCTGGCCACCACAATTGTCGAATCGGGGCTCGACATCCCCACGGCCAACACCATCTTCATCGACGATGCCGATCGCTATGGACTGGCCGACTTGCACCAATTGCGTGGTCGGGTCGGCCGCTATCGCCATCGGGCTTATTGCTATCTGCTGGTCGACCCGAAACGCTCGCTGAACCCCGACGCCGCCAAACGGCTGCGGGCGATCGAAGAGTTCAGCCACATGGGTGCGGGGTTCGCCATCGCGCTGCGCGATCTCGAGATCCGCGGGGCGGGCAACATCTTGGGCACCGAACAAAGCGGGCACATTGCCAGCGTTGGCTACGAACTGTATTGCGAACTGCTCGAGCAGGCTGTGCGGCGGATGAAACGTATGCCGCCGCGGGAATTCGTCGATGTCGACATCGATCTGCCGGGCGAAACCTATCTGCCCCGCGACTACGTGCCGGAGATGCGGACAAAGATCGATCTCTACCGCCGGCTTTCACGCTTGACCACTCCTGAACAAGTCGACGACTTCGCAGCAGAGTTGATCGATCGCTTCGGCCCTCATCCCGAGGTTGTGAAGCGATTGCTAGCGTTGATGCAACTGCGAATTGCTGCGGCCCGCTGGGGCGTGAACGCGATTCACCGCGAGGATGAATACCTGGTTCTGAGCTATACTGCGGCCCCTTTAATCCGCCGCCTGGCGGAACTCTCTCGCGGAAGATTACGCGTTGTCGATGGGCAAACGGCGTATCTACCAATCAGCAACGAGCTTACCGATCCAGACGCATTACGGGCCGAGCTTGAATCGCTGTTGCAGTTGGAATGACTACGTCTCTATAATCCCGCCCCGTGCCACGTTCAGCGGCACGCCCTTGTTGCGACCGATCGTCACATTTCAGATGCCATTGCTGGCATGTCCAGCAGTTCGAGTGGCGCTCGAAATGAACCGGCTGATCGAATCGCGGCACCAATCTACTTGTCTTATCACTACTACTGATCGCACGTCGAACCCACGGGCCATTCGCGCTGGTGGCCGATGTTTGATCGCACCACGACTTCAGAGCGAGTGCATCTCCGCTGGTGGAACGGTTTCTCACGAATCTTCTGTTGCTGGTCTTAGTGGCCATCGCCTCGGCCTTGTGGCTATCGCAAGGCGATCGCCTCACATGGCTGGAAGGGCTTGCGCCTGTGCAGGCGCTGGCGGCAACGACGACCGATGGAGCAACGCAAGCAACGGCTCCGCGTAGCGAAGCCCCCGTGTTCGCCCCACCCGTGGGACCGCAAGCCGTGGCGCAGCCCCAACCGCAGGCGGCCACCAACCAAGCTGCACAACCGGTTGCTCCTAGTAATGTATTGCCTGCGACTCCCTCGACAGCCAGCTTGACGGGTCAGATCGCCGAGCCCCCTGAGCAGGAAGCACCCGAGATCGCGGCACCGCCCCCGGTGGATATGTCGCCGCCCATTTCAGCAGCCCCCGATCCGACAGCAGGGCCAACTCTTCCACCGTTGAATGAAACAATCGTTCCAGCCGCACAGCCGCAAGCTGCGAGCGATGAGCTTTTCGCTGCGCCTTACGTCACTCCGCCACCAACGACCAACTCGAGCGTCGTTCCCCCGACAGCACCGCAAGTCACGCCGTATGGCAATCCGACAGGTCCTGTGGGCGGACCGATTGGTAACGGAACACCTCAGGGCTTGCCTCTCAATCAACCACCCGCGCCGGAGAGTAGCGTTCCGACGGAAGTGCCGCTTCCGCAGATGCAACCTCCGGCCGGTCAAGTACAACCTCCGACGAATGCTCAGCCCGCCGGACCGGCTGCGGCGGCAACCGCTCCCGGGGCGCCAGCCCACTTGGTTTCCGCTACGCCGGTAGCCAACGTGAATGGCGAAGTGATCCTGGCCGGCGATGTCTTCCCGGCGGTGGATCGCATGATCGCCGAACGTTTTGCCGATATCCCCGAGCGGCAGCGAGATCAGGTACGCATTCAATTGGCCAAGCAGCGGTTGAATCAGCTAATCGAGATGCAGCTTCTCTATACCGACGCGATGCGAAACGTGCCGAAAGAGAACTTGCCGAAGATCGAAGAGCAGTTGAACAAGCAGTTCGACTCCGACGAACTGCCGCACATGATGAAATCGGCCGACGCCCCATCGGTGCAAGCGCTCGATGAATATCTCAGATTGAGTGGCGATTCGATCGAGCGTGCGAAACGCCGCTTTCGACAAGAAGTGATCGCTCGGCAGTGGCTGGGACAGAAAGACACCAAAGAGGAAGAGATCACGCACGACGAGATGCTCGAGTACTATCACCAGCACGAGCAAAGCTATTTCTTTCCCGCTCGCGCGAAATGGGAACAGCTGCAAGTACGATACTCGAGCGTTTCCAGCCGTGCGGAGGCTCGCCGCAAGATTGCTTGGATGGGCAACCAGATCATGGACGGGGCCCAGTTCGCCGAAGTGGCGAAAGCCCACTCCGACGGATACACCGCCGATGAAGGTGGCGTTCGCGATTGGACCACTCAAGGAAGCCTGGTCTCAGCCGAACTGGACAGAGCCCTGTTCACGTTGCCCGTAGGTTATCTCTCTCCGATTATCGAAGAAGATGGCGGTCTGACGATTGTCCGCGTAACCGAACGGCAGAACGCTGGCAAAACATCTTTCCTTGAAGCGCAAACGACGATCAAGGAAGAGATCAAGAAAGAGCGGCACAACGATACGCGGCGAGAGTTTCTCGACGAACTTCAGGCGCAGGCCCGCATCTGGAATATCTTCGATGATCCCCAGGCGGAAACCATCTTCGCTACGGCCCCGCAGAACTCAGATTCGACACTGCGGTAGTTCCCGGCACTCCTGAAGAACTCCTCGTCGCACAATTCTGTCTCGGCGGCGTCATCATGCCCGGCTTTCGGTCGCAGAATTCGCCATCTCATTCTGCGGGCAGAGGTTTTCGACAGGTACTAACCCCGTCGAACTGCTAACATGACAGCTCTTCGCACCGGCACCTTTCTGCCCAGACCAAAGACAGCCACGTGTACGATCGCCGCAATGTTGAAATCAAGGCCCGGCTGGCCAACCTCGATGCGGCTCGCTCGGTTGCCGTGCGTATTGCAACGGCTGGCCCCTTCGAGTTGCATCAGGTCGATACCTACTTCCATTGCACCCACGGCCGGCTGAAACTGCGGGAGACGCGGGGCGAAACCGCTCAATTGGTTTGGTACCAAAGGGGCGACACCCAGGAGGCCAAGACGAGTAACTACCAACTGGTCGACGTGGCCAACCCCGATGAGTTAAAGGCGGCCCTCACCGGCGCACACGGGGTGCGGTGCGTGGTCGACAAGGTTCGCGAGTTGTATTTGTGGCACAACGTGCGAATCCACCTCGACACGGTGGTCGACCTGGGGGCCTATCTCGAGTTTGAGGCCGTGCTCGATCGTAACGATTCGGAAGCACTGGGACAGCAACAAGTGGATCAGTTGATACACCAGTTCGCGATCGAACCAAGCGACCTGATGAGCGGTTCCTACTCAGAACTGCTAGGTGCCGCCCCGCCCAACCCTCCTAACCCATCGGCTGCAACGCACCGAGCCTGATGCGGGTCGGAAATTCTTCCCACTTGCTTGCCGATCGCCGTTGGGCAGATGCCGATGACCTTTCAGCCCTGTAATGGTGGTCCCCGGTGTGCTTTTCGAATGCTGAATAGTATTAGAGTGCATAATAATACTGTTCGGGCAGTTTCTTTCGACCTGGTCCGATTTCGTGGGCCATTTGTACAGCCGCGCTTCCATCGCTAAACTGCGTTTCTGTCCCATTACGCCAGGGCTGAATGAGGATCGTATGTCGTCCGTTGCCAAAAAGGAGACCTCGATGGGCGAGGTTGCCAAGTTAACACTCGGTGATAAACAAGTTGAGCTTCCGATTGTCGTCGGATGCGAAGGTGAGCATGCCCTGGATATCTCCAAGCTCCGCGCGGAGACGGGATACATCACCCTCGACGAAGGGTATGTGAACACCGGGTCGGCGGTTAGCGACATCACTTACCTCGACGGTGAGAAGGGCATCCTTCGCTACCGTGGTTACTCGATTGAAGAATTGGCCGCGAACTGCGACTTCATCGAAGTCAGCTACTTGCTGCTGTACGGTGAATTGCCCAGCAACGAACAACTGGCCAACTTCCGTGCTGCCTTGCGGCGTCACACGATGCTGCACGAAGACATGCGGTCATTCTACAACGGCTTCCCCCGCGACGCTCACCCGATGGCGATCCTGGGCTCCGTCGTCGGAGCCCTGTCGACGTTCTACCAAGACTATCTCGATCCCAAGGATCCGCATCAGGTCGAAATCTCAATACACCGCCTGATGGCCAAGCTGCCGACCATCGCGGCTTTCAGCTACAAGAAATCAATCGGGCAACCGTTCATCTACCCGTTGAACAAGTTGTCCTACTGCGAGAACTTCTTGCAGATGATGTTCGCCGTGCCAAGCGAACCGTACGAAATCGACCCCGACTTTGTCGAAGCACTCAATCTACTGCTGATTGTGCATGCCGATCACGAACAAAACTGCAGCACCTCGACCGTCCGCATGGTGGGTTCGAGCGATGCCAACTTGTTTGCCTCGATCTCGGCTGGCATCTCGGCCCTGTGGGGCCCCCTGCACGGCGGTGCGAACCAAGCCTGTGTCGAGATGTTGGAAAAGATCCGCGAAGATGGCGGCAACGTTGGCAAGTACGTCGACATGGCCAAGGATCGAAACAGTTCGTTCCGCCTGATGGGCTTCGGGCACCGCGTGTACAAGAACTTCGATCCCCGCGCGAAGATCATCAAGAAGAGCTGCGACATCCTACTTAAGAAGCTGAAAATCTCTGACCCGATCTTCGAGATTGCCCAAGAGTTGGAAGAGGTCGCACTCTCCGATTCGTACTTCGTCGAACGCAAGCTTTATCCAAACGTCGACTTCTATTCCGGAGTCATCTATCGAGCGATCGGGATTCCAGTTCAGATGTTCACCGTGCTATTCGCCATGGGGCGGCTGCCGGGATGGATCTCGCACTGGACCGAGATGCACGCCTCGAAGAACAAGCGGATCAGCCGACCGCGCCAGGTGTACGACGGTCAAACCCATCGCGAATTCCTACCGATCGAGAAGCGTTGATCGCCTGATCGATTGTTGCGTTTAAAGCGGTGCTATCCCGCAGGTTTTTCACGTGGTCGATTCCGATCGGTGCTCGTGAGTGCGAACCCCACTTTTGTGCGGGATTCTCTTCCGTGGTCGTTTCGATGGTGTACCATGTGAAGGCCGCGATCGCAGCTTCGGCTTCCCTGCCGGAGATTTGTTTCCTAAGCCACTGTTTAAAGGTTGCAGTCGAGCATGAGTAAGAAAGTCACGGTCTTTTGGCCAGGAGATTACCGCGCAGAACCCAATCGGCTCGCGCAGCCTATGGTGCGGGAGACCACGACCCAACTTACAAAAGCCCTCAAGCACTTGGGCCGGCAGCCCAAGGTCATTCGCAAGTTCCTCTGCAAGCCACACGAATCGATCGAACACCTGGGGCCGATCGACGAACCCAGCATCGGCGTGTTCTGCCACTGGACCTACGGGCCTCACACCGTCGAAGGCGTGGTCGGCAAAGACAGCCCCCTGCTGCTAGCTTCGAACTTCTCCGGGCAATGGCCCGGCTTGGTCGCCCTGCTGAACACCAGTGCGTGCCTCGAAAGTGTCGGTCGCTCGCACTCGCGCATCTGGACCGACGCCCGCGACTGGACCAAAGACCGCAAGTTCATGGAGCGGCTCGACGAGTGGTGCTCCAGTGGGCGAATCGCCTATCCCGAGGATGAGTTGCACTACAGTGCGCCCATCACCCCCGAAGCCACCAAGATTGCCGACGAGGTTCACCAGGAGATCCGCGCACGTCGTGTTCTGGCCCTGATGTTGGGCGATACGTCGATGGGCATGATCAACGGTTACTTTGGCCCCCGCCGCCTGGCCCCGCTGGGTTTCTCCGAACACAAAGTCGATCAAGCCTGGCTTCTAAGCCGGGGCAAGTTCATCACCGATCAGCGGATCGACGACGCTTTCGAGTTCGTCACCGATCACGGCGTGAAATTCCACTGGCGTGAAAACGGCGATGACGACTTCACCCCCGATGCCACCCGCGAACAGTTGCGGATGTATCTGACGGTGCTCGACCTAATCGACGAATTCCAGGCCGACTGCTTAGGCTGGCAATATCAACTGGGGCTGGTCCCCCTGCTACCGCCAAGCGATTTCTGCGAAGGACTGCTCAATAGCAGTTGCCGCCCCGAAAGTAACGGTTTGCCGATCATCACGGCCACCGAAGCCGATCAGGGTAGCCTGATTCCCATGGAACTGATGAAGCGAGTGCTAATCAAACGCGGTTTGGAACCGGCCGTCATGTTCCACGATGTTCGCTGGGGAGCGATGCACAAGAAGAAGTGGTTGTGGGTGCTGCTGAACAGCGGTTCCTGCGGCGCCTATGCCTTCAACCACGACCCCAACACTTTGAAAGGGGTACACAGCTATCGTCAGCCCAAGGGGTACTTCCCAATGCCGGGTGGAACGTTCGCCGGCGAAAGCCTGCCCGGGGAAATCACCTGGTCGCGGGCGTACCTCAAAGATGACCGTCTGTGGATGGACTTGGGCAAGGGCAGCGTGACCAAGCTACCCGCCAAGGTTCGCGACGAATGGTGGAACGGGACCACCCGTCAGTGGCCGTTTATGGCTGCCGACCTGGGTTGCTCGATGGAAACCGTAATGGCCCATTACATGAGCAACCACGTCGTGGTCTGTTACGGCGACATCCTGGGCGAGATGATCTCGCTCTCTCAAGCCCTCGGGTTCCAGGTTCGGGTGATGGCCAGCTCTCTGTAGTTTGGCGGTAGCCCGCAAGTCTGAGATCACCAACGATCTAGCGCAGGTTCGCCATGCGCACTCATCGCCTCTTGTTCATGCGATGCGCTCTCCCTGGGACTCTGGTGAATCTGCAAAGGCTTTGCGGCCCAAATAGCCCAAGCATTGCCAGCGTTAATATCCATGCAACCCCGAGGAATTTGCTCCCAGCGGTACTTCTTCTTCTGCCCCCCGCATGCACTGTCCGATAGAGGACAGAGGACCACCGTTAACGCTCGCTGGCCCTCTTGCAGCAAAAAGGACGGAACCGCGTGTCAAAAAAATTTACCGCTTTCGCGTCGATGCTCTTCGTAGTCGCTCTGGCCCGCTCGACCCCAGTCGCGGCTCAAACACCGGCCCAGTTCGCTAACCAGCGGATCATTCGCCTGAATACCTCGCCGCAGCGCGAAGTTGCCCCGGTGATGACGGCCGTTTCGCTGCATCCCAGTGGCGGGCAAATCGCTACCGCTGGCGACGATCACTACGTCCGCGTTTGGTCATTGCAAACCGGACAGTTGATGGCATCGCTCAACGGGCACCGCGATTGGATTCGCAGCATCGAATTCAGCCCCGATGGAACGAAGCTGGCAACCGCTGGCGACGACCGCCAAATTCGAATTTGGGATCTCACGACGGGTAAAGAAGTTCTCACCTTCAACGAGCACGACGGGGTGATTTACGACATCTGCTTCAGTCCCGATGGGTCGCTCATCGCCAGCGTGGGCTTCGAAGCACCTGTGCGAGTGTACCTGGCCGACACGGGCGAACTGCTGCACGAGTTGGAAGGGCCCGGCGTCGATCTGCGCGACGTGGCCATCTCGCCTGATGGTTCGCAACTGGCCGCCGCCGGTCGACGTGGCGACATCCGCTTGTGGAGCCTGACTACAGGCGACCATCTGATGGACATCAACGCCCACCAGCGTCGCGTACATGCCTTGGCTTTCTCGCCCGACGGCAGTCGGATTGTCTCGGCCGGCGAATCGCGAACTCTGCAAATGCATAGCACCAGCAACGGTAGCCAACTACTTGAAATCGATGCTCGCCCGGGCATTGTTCGCTGCCTGAAGTTCTTTACGCCCACGATGGTCGCCGCCGGCACAACGACCGACGTCGTCGAATTGTGGGACTTGGAAAGTGGTCAATCTGTGGGCAAGTTCGAGGGACACCAAGGCACCATTGCCGACCTCGATTTTCAACCGGAAACGGGGCTGCTGATTTCTGGCAGCTTCGATACGACGGTTCGTCTGTGGGACATCAACGGTGGTTTGAACGGCAACACCGCAAGAAATAGCACACCAGGGGTTCAAGCTCGCTAATCACGCATACGCACATTCATCAGCGAGACGACACGGAACGGTCGTACTCGCTCAAGCGTATCGTTCGAGCAAACCGCGGCATGGAGGGATCTCGTGTTTCGATTCCGTAATATTTTCCGCCGAGATGCGGCCCATCAATCCATTCCTGAACCAAACCTCCTCAAGCGGCAACGTCGTCACTGCGATGTAGAACCGCTCGAGCAGCGACAACTTCTCGCGGCCGATGTTCAAATCGGCGCGGTCTACTACGAAGAAGACAGCGGCCAAGACTCGGCCCACGACTGGTTCCACATTTCGTTCAACGGCGGTCCCGATGGGGTGCAACTCACCCAAGTGGTGATCGACACCGACAAGGCAGGCGACGGGCTTTCGGTGGCCGACGCCTTCTTCGACACCGCCTCGGGCGGAGCCGGAGCCTTCGACTCACACGACTTCTCCATCATCGAGCAGGTCGGTATCGACTCCGTAACAGCCAGCTACGTCGATGGCGGTACTCAGCTCGTTCTGACCTTTACCGGGTTCGACCCCGGGGACAAGTTCGTCTTTGGTATCGATGTCGACGAACAAGGCTTCTTGCCCGGCAGTTCAAGCGCCGTGACCGAAGGTGCCGAGTTCGAGGGCTCGAAGCTCATCGGTACCTTCGTCGCACCCCACTACGAAACCCTGACTCAGACCGGGATTTTCACCGATAGCTTCTCGCTAGCCGGCACGGGACTCGATCTCCCGCCCGACAGCTACGTGCCCATCTCGGCTACACCGCAAGAGTTCCGCACCGCGGGCGTTGAGTTCTCAGGCCCGATGACTCCGCTGCCGATCACGATCTCGGGTACGGTCTTTGAAGATATCAACCTGAACAATGTGCAGAATGCCGGCGACCAAGGCATCGCAGGCGTGACGCTGACGCTGCACGAGTTCAACGGAACTTCATACGTCTCGACAGGAAAGACCGCGGTAACCGACGGGGCTGGAAACTACAAGTTCGAAGACATTCTTCCCGGCAAGTATCGGGTGGTCGAAACCCAGCCGGCCTCGTACTTGAGCGTGGGAGCCAAAGCCGGCACGGTCGATGGCGGAACGGTCGGCGTGGTCGTCTCCCCTGACATCATCGCCGACATCACCTTGTTAGGCGGTCAAGACAGCATCGACAACGACTTCGCCGAAGCCAAACCGGCTTCGCTCGCGGGTAACGTCTACCACGATGCCGACGACGATGGCGTCTTCGACCCCAGCGAAACAGGCATCGGCGGCGTCACCATCCAAGTGCAACGCATCGTAGTCGGTGGAACACCGGAAGCCCCCGTCGAAGTACAAACCCTGGCCGACGGTTCTTGGTCGGTCTCCGGGCTTCGTCCTGGCAACTACCTGGTGCGCGAAATCCATCCGACCGCCTACATCGACGGTAAAGATACCCCCGGTAACGCAGGCGGTTCGGCATTGGCTCAACCGGGCGATCAGATCTCCGGCATCTTTCTGTCTAGCGGGAAGAACGGCACCGAATACAACTTCGGCGAAATCATCCCCAGTAGCATTTCCGGGTTCGTGCATGCCGATCGCGATGGCAACTGCGAGATCGACCCCGGCGACGTCGCCCTGCAAGGCGTAACCGTTCACCTGTTGGACTCGGGCGGAACTCGCATCGCCACGACCACCACCGACAGCCAAGGTCGTTACGAATTCACGGGGCTGGCCCCCGGCATTTACGGTGTGGAAGAAGAGCAACCGGCCGGATACTTCGACGCCGGCGATCACGTCGGTACCGCGGGAGGCACGCTGTCCGGTACGGACTCGATCATTAACATCACGCTCACCTCCGGCACCAACGCCGAGAACTACAACTTCTGCGAGCATGAGCCGGCCAGCATCTCTGGCTATGTCTACGCCGACGACAACGACAACGGTGTGCGCAACACCGGCGAATCGCCGATCGCCGGCGTCACACTGGAACTGCTCGACGCCGCAGGCAACTCTCTGGGCATCACCACAACGACTAACGCCGCTGGGTTCTACAAGTTCGACAACCTGCGACAAGGCACCTACGGCGTGGCCGAAGTTCAGCCCACGGGCTACTTCGACGGAAAAGACGCCGCTGGAAGCGCCGGAGGTTCGGCTTTGAACCCAGGCGATCGCATCACCGGTGCGGTGCTCACGCCGAACTTGGATGCCGTGAATTACAACTTCGGCGAACTCCGTCCCGGAAGTCTCTCCGGTCATGTGTACGTCGACAACAACGACAACGGAAACTTCGATGGCGGCGAATCGCCCATCGCCGGCGTAACGCTGCAACTGCTCGACGCCGCGGGGAACGCCACTGGTATCACCACCACAACCGATGCCAACGGGTTCTATCGCTTCGATAACCTGGCTCCCGGCACTTACGGTGTGGCCGAACTCCAACCCTCGGGTTACTTCGACGGAAAAGACGCCGCAGGAAGTGCCGGCGGTACGGCACAAAACCCAGGCGACCGCATCATCGGTGCACTGATCGCCGCGGGTGTGAATGCCGTGAATTACGACTTTGGCGAACTTCTGCCCGGCAGCATCTCGGGCCGCGTACATTCCGATCGCGACGGCGACTGCGAATTCACCGAAGGTGACACACCGATTGAAGGCGTAACGATCCACTTGCTCGACGCCGCGGGTAATCGCATCGCCACCACGCAGACCGATGCCGATGGGCGTTACACCTTCGGCAACCTCAAGCCGGGTGTGTACGGTATCGAGGAAGAACAACCCGCTGGCTACTACGACAGTGGCGACCACCCTGGCTCCGCCGGAGGAACGGCAGTAGCCCCCGATAAGATCACCGGCATCACTATCGGTTCGGGCGTTGCGGCCGTGAACTACGACTTCTGCGAAGTGTTGCCCGGCAGCATCTCGGGTCGTGTGCATTCCGATCGCGATGGCGACTGCGAATTCAGCGAAGGCGATACACCAATCGCCGGAGTCACCATTCACTTGCTCGACGCCACGGGCAATCGCATCGCCACCACACAAACCGATGCCGACGGGCGCTACACTTTCGACAACCTCGAACCCGGCGTGTACGGCATCGAAGAAGTTCAGCCCGAGGGTTACTACGACAGTGGCGACCACGTGGGAACAGGCGGCGGAACACTCGTCGCCCCCGACACCATCACGAATATTACGGTCGGCGCTGGAGCCGCACTGGTCAATTACGACTTCTGCGAAGTTCTGCCTGGCAGCATTTCGGGCCGGGTTCATTCCGATCGCGATGGCGACTGTGAATTCACTGAGGGCGACGAACCCATCGCCGGAGTAACGATCTACCTGCTCGACTCCACCGGCAACCGCATTGCTTCGACGCTCACCGACGCCGACGGTCGCTACACCTTCGACAACCTCGAACCGGGCGTGTACGGCATCGAGGAAGTTCAGCCCGAGGGCTACTACGACAGTGGCGACCACGTGGGAACCGGTGGCGGAACGCTCGTCGCCCCCGACACCATCACGGGCATCACCGTCGGTGCGGGTGTTGCCGTAGTGAACTACGACTTCTGCGAACACGATCCGGCGAGCCTCTCGGGGCATGTCTACGCCGACGACAACAACAACGGAACTCGCGATCCGGGCGAACTTCCGCTGGTGGGCGTGACGCTCCACTTGCTCGACTCGGCCGGCAACCCCACGGGCATCACCACGGTGACCGACGGCACTGGATTCTACCAGTTCGCAAACTTGCAGCCTGGTAAGTACGGTGTGGCCGAAGTTCAACCGGTTGGATTCTACGACGGCTCCGACTCTGCAGGTTCGGCTGGCGGAACGGCCGAGAACCCCGGCGATCGCATTGTGAACGCCATGTTGATGCCCGGCATGAACGCCGTGAACTACGACTTCGGCGAACTGCAACCGGCCAGCATCTCGGGTACGGTGCACGTCGATACTGACGGCGACTGCGAAATCGACCCCGGCGAGCAACGCCTCGGCGGTGTGACAGTCTTCCTGCTCGATGCCGCGGGCAATCGCATTGGTCAGACGGTGACCGCGGCCGACGGCACTTACTCGTTCAGCAGCCTCGCACCTGGCGAGTACGGCGTCGAACAAGTTCAGCCGGGCGAATACCTCACACACGGTGAGAAGGTTGGATCGGCTGGTGGCTCAGTCACGGCCGCCAACTTCATCCAACAAATTGTTCTTGCCCCCGGCAACAACGCTTTCGACTACAACTTCTGCGAAATCAACTTCGGATCGATCTCCGGTTATGTCTACCAAGACGGTGATACGATTGAACTCGAACGAGGAGAAATCCTCAGCGCTTCGAATCTAAGTGAATACCGCTCGGGTTCGCGGACCGAAGACGACACGCCCATTGCCGGTGTCACGCTGCGGCTGCTCGATCTCTCGGGCGCCGAAGTGCCCGATGCCACCACCGGTCAGCCTATGACTGTGGTGACCGACGAGAATGGTTTCTATCAGTTCACAAACCTCGCCCCCGGTGTGTACACCATTGTGCAAGTTCACCCCGAGTCGTACATCGACGGTATCGACAGTGCGGGAACCACGGGCGGCTTGGCTCTGAACGCTGGTGTGCATTCCGATCTTTTGCCGCAGGGCATTGCAGAAACCATGGATGCGATCGTGGGCGTCGTGCTTCCGGCCGGTGGCGCTTCGGTGGAAAACAACTTCAGCGAAGTGGTCGTGCTGCAAGATCCAGGCACGCCCCAGGTCCCGTTCTTCACGAACAACCCACCGTCTACACCCGCACAAATCGGACGTTCGGCACCCGGCGGTGGATTGTTACCGCAAATCGGTGCCCCCAGCCCGATGGCTCGCCCCAACCAGGAGACCATCTTCTTCGGCTCTTCGTCGGCCCAAGAAATCGGTCACACCTGGCACTTGAGCATCATCGACGGCGGTCGCCCGCGCGGCGATGTGACTCAGTCGGCTCAGGTCATGCAAGTGAGCACCCAACACATTGATGCCATTCGATGGAGCCCGGAACAAATGCAGTCGGCCGTGTGGACCATGCCCGGAGAGCCAGGCCAGGCCGACCAGGTGGTGCACTTCGGCATGAACGGTGGTATTCCGGTCACCGGCGACTGGAATGGTGACGGTGTTACAGAAGTCGGCGTGTTCCGCGACGGCGATTGGTTCCTCGACTACAACGGCAACGGCCAATGGGACGAGGGCGACATCTGGGCCAAGCTCGGAACCTCCAAGGACAAACCGGTAACCGGCGACTGGAACGGCGACGGCAAGACCGACATCGGTATCTTCGGACCCGAGTGGTTCGGCGACGGCAAGGCGCTTGTAAACGAACCGGGCCTTCCCGATGCCGAAAACGAAACGACCGGCGAAAAGAAGAACACGCCGCCCAAGCCGCATGAAGCAACTTCCGAAAAGCGGGTACTTCAACGCACCAAGCAGGGCCGCACCCGTGAAGACGTGGTCGACCACGTATTCCGCTACGGCGATGCCAACGACATCCCGGTCACCGGCGACTGGAACGGCGATGGCATTCACACCGTGGGTGTGTTCACGGCGGGACAATGGTTCCTCGACACCAATGGCGACGGTACCTGGCAGCCGGGTGATGAAATCTTCACCTACGGTCAAACCGGCGACCTGCCCGTGGTCGGCGACTTCGACGGCGACGGCATCGACGAACTAGGAATCTACCGCGACGGCCGCTGGTACATCGACATCAACCACAACGGACTGGTCGATAGCGAAGACCTCGTCATCGAAAAAGGCGAATTGGGCGACGTACCCGTCGTCGGCGACTGGAACGGCGACGGCGTCGACGAACCAGGGCTGTACCGCGACGGGTTGATTCGGCGGATTGATCCGTAAGGCGGTAGGGGTAAGAAACCCCCATTCCCTTTGACGAGTGGCCGCTGGTTGTGCCAGAATTGAGATATGGAAATCATCATCTCAGAAGCCAAGGCCGCGAAGCTGACTGAACGAGCTCGCGCCGCAGGCTACGAAAACGCCGAGCAGTTTATCGACGCGCTCATCGCCGAGCCGATCGAAGACCCACCCGGCAAGTTGACGCCAGAAGAACTCCGCGAAAGTGCGGCCGCGATCGCCCGCGCCAATGAAGAGATCGATGCGGGTGGCGGTGTCGACGCCGAGGAGGCATTTCGTCAGATTGGTAAGAAGTTCGGGTTTGAATTTCCCCGATGACCTATCGGCTGGTATTGGCTTCCGCGGTTTTTGAAGGTCTGAACGAATTCGTCGACCATATCGCGATTCGAAATCAATCGCCAATCAATGCCGAGCGTTGGTTTCATAAGGCGTGGGATAAGCTGGACACCCTCAGATACTTCCCCCATCGCTGCCCACCCGCACCAGAGAACGATCTCTTTAGTTACACGGTGCGTGTAATGATCGTGGATGACTGTTTATTTACCTATACTGTCCACGAAGAAAGCCGAACCGTTCGAGTAATCGGTTTCCGTCATGCTCGGCAACGGCCCAAGCCTCTCGTGTAGCCCGCAGGGTAACATGCTCGGGCCTATTCCCATCACGACTCCTTCAGCTTCGACAATTCCGCCGAGTCTTTCGCAATCTCAGCCTCGAGCCGGGTGACTTCTTCCGGGTCGTCCATCTGCTGCTTGGCGCCGGTCAACAGAGTCTGCAGCTTCTTGAGGCGCTTGTTCAGCACTTCGATTCGCTTCTTAGCTTTCTTATCCATTGGTGTCTCCCTACCGTAGATCTAGTCCCTTGGGTGCATTCTCACTCAGACGGTTCGGCTTCGGTGGGCTGTCGCTCGATGGTGACGCGAAACACCTGAAACACACCGATCGCCTCCGGCCCCTGCAGGCCGAAAAGCCGCCACAGCATACTTAGAGCATCGTTGACCGAGGCCGCCCGAAGTTTCGGTCGCATCATGGCCGCCCGGGCAAACATGCCAGGGTCATGCCCGCACAGCTCGGCAAACTTCGCCACACACTTCTCAGCTCGTGCTGGTTCAAGCTCGAACAATTCGGTCAACACCCGCACGGCCTCCGGGCGATTCTGGTGCCGAATGTGCTCGACGAAGCCTTCCCAAGTGGCAGGCGATTGTAACCCTACTTCCGATTCTTTGTTCGTCTCGTGCTGCGGACCATCCGGCGTGAACGATTCGCCAGTTGTGTCCGCGGTATTGTATTCGTCGCTCGATGCCACCGCACTATACGAACTGGAGGTCGTGGCGTTCTCCTCTTCCTCTTCCTCCAGCATCTGCAGTTGGCCCATCATCGAACTTACGTTCGCCAGCCGCGCACCGAACTGTTCGTAAATCGTCTCGATGCGGCCGCCGTAACTCACGCCGTCGGCTTCCTCCAGAATTTCATCCGGGGCTTCCAACACGCGCTCCATCAACTGCTGCGCGAGCCGTTCTCGAGCTTGTTTCAAAACTTCAATCGCGTGGGCACGGTCACTCATGATGGCTGCGTCTCCGCAAGTCGCTCGAAAGATAGAGAAACGGCCACCTGTCGCAAGGCATCCGGCCGTCGTCGCCTATCTCCCAGCCTAATCAGCCGAGTTACGTTCACCAGGGCAGCAGCGCATTGCCTAGGTAACGAAATCACCGAAACGTTGCATTGTAACGCTTTTAACGAACATGCGGAGGACACCCCCGGAGCGTTTGCCTTTGCCACGGCCTCGCCACACCGCGGACTAAACAGCGTCGTCGCCCGGCTGTGCCTCACCCAACAGCCGATCGACCAGCTCCAAGGCTTCCTCAGGCGTCTTAATTTCACCGTCAAGCTGGGCATCGCGAGCGGCTTGCAACAGCGTGGCGAATATCTTCCCCCGCGGAACCCCATGCCGAATCAAGTCTCTGCCGGTAAGCAACGCCGGCGGGTCAAGCTCTTCTGGCGGCCGACTAAGCAGCTCCCCACAGTAGTCGGCCTCCGCCTCACTGCGGCCCTGAACCCGTGCGGCCAAGCGTTCCAGCGCAACCAGATCAGTAAACCGCGGATCGATCGCCAGCGGTTGAAGCTGCGACCACGGTAACTTGCGAGCTTCGCGAAGTGCATACTGATGTTCAATCAGCCACGCGATGTCGTCCCGCTCGTTGTTCGACAAACGAAGCCGCTGACTAATCTCCACCGCCAGCTCTTCACTTCGCGAAGCACAATTGACACCGCCCGCTTCATTCCCCACCGCATGCAGTAGCACGGCCGCCGCCAGGCGAAAATCCGCGTTACTCAAGGCATCAAGCATTGTGAGTGTGCGTGACAAGGCTTTCGGATCTAGACTTACCACCTCCGGAAGTAGAGCCTTCAATAACCCCGTCTCTTGCAACAACTCCACCACCAGTTTCGGTCGCGGGCCGGAGAGCATTTGCCGCAGCTCTTGTGCGATTCGCTCGACGCTCACCACGCTCACTTCGGCGGCCATCTGCTTGATGGCCTCGGCGGTTGCTTCATCGAGCGTAAAGTCGTACGTGGCCGTAAACCGCACGGCCCGCAGCATGCGAAGTTTGTCTTCGGTGAATCGTGCCACCGGGTCGCCGATCGCGCGGAGCACCTTACGCTGCAGGTCGCGCTGACCATCGACAAAGTCGATCACCTGCTCATCGATGGGGTCGAAGAACAAGCCGTTAATCGTAAAGTCGCGCCGCTGCGCGTCGACCTCCGGGGTGCTGAAGGTCACACTGTCGGGATGCCGACCATCGCTGTAGCTGGCGTCGGTGCGGAAAGTAGCCACCTCGACGTTCGCCACATGACGCGGTCCCAACACGTTCACCACGCCAAACACCGCCCCGGTGAAAATAGTGCGTCGCCGGCCGAAAATCTCCCGGACCAACTGGGGCGTGGCATCGGTCGCCACGTCGTAATCTTTCGGCACACGCCCCAAGAGCATGTCCCGCACACAGCCGCCGGCCCAATAGGCGACGTACCCCTGCTCGCGGAGCGTCTTCAACACATCGAGCGCGAATTTTCGCTGAAGTTTCGGGTCGGGGCTCGGCACGTCGGAGGGTCTTTCGCTTGCAATACACTAAGGCGGTACTCATTCTCGCCCCGATCGTAGCATGCCCGGGGAGATTGCGTAACGCGACAGGAACACATTCAACCCAAGCAATAAAGAAATGATCGATGTGGGTGCCACTGCCGGCTTGTCCGGCAGTGCTGTGCCTGAGGTCTCACGGAGAAGCAAGACCACAATGGCAACCAGCACAATTGGAACCAACTAGGAGACAAGCAAGTCCATCGCGCGGTTCACTTCGCCGACAACCCACTCACGAGAAGACTTATCAAGCTCGAAGATGTGCTCAACCCCTCCGCGGAGAAAACGCAGACAGAGTTCGCCAGGCTGAGTGCCCAACGATTGTTCGATGGCCAGAGCGTACAGCAACATCTGCATGCGATACGGATTGGCCACCTCTTCGACCCCACGGCCGGTGAGTTGGTTCGTCTTGTAGTCGAGCAAATGCCACACTCCGTCGGGCGACTGATAAAGGCAGTCAATCACGCCGCCGATCCACCGTGTTGCGGCTCCCTCGCTTGAAGCCTCGTCCTGCGGCGGCCAGGGAAGCATGAACTCGATTTCGGCGTGAACCTCATTAGCGGCCAGAAGTGCTTCGGCCCGTGGGCTGGAGACAAACCCTCGCACCAAGTCGCGGGCGTCGCCAATCAACACCGAATCGGCAATGTGCAACTTGTCTGCCTGCAATTGCACCAACTGCTCTGGGGCCGCGGCCGCCTTGTTTCCTTCACTCATCAAACCCGGCCACTGCGCGAGCGCGGCATGTACCAGCGAACCTAACAGCAGCGGGTCGGAAGCCCCGTCCCGCGGACCGGCAACCTCGGCGGCCTTCGACACCAGGGCGGTCTCTGCCTCCACTGCGGGCGACTCTTGGGGCTTCAGTGCACCCGTTAACCTCGAAAAAGAAAACTGCCGGCGGGCGGCCCGGTGAGGTGCAATCGGCCCCACAGTTTCTGGTGGGCGTGGTATTCCCTTCCGAGCGGTCTCTATTTCGCCAATCACCTTTTCCAGCTTTACCCCGCGGCTGGATTCTTTGTGGAAGTTCGGCAGCTCGGGTTTCTCGAGGGTCACCATCACCTCGGGCAATGCATAACCCGGGGGTAACTCGCCCAGCATTTCACCGGTGTCCAACTCGAAGCGGCGTTCGATCACCCTTCGCCATGGCGACTCCGGCCGATCAACCGCCTCGACGCCGGCCGAAAGCATCAAGTAGTCGGCCGCCCGCGTCGTGGCTACATAGAGCAACCGCGTGGTCTCATCTTCGCCCTCGAGTTCTTCCCCCTGCCGGTAAAGATCGAGCCCCGTCGGCATCTTGCTGCCCGAGGGCGACTTCACCAGCGGGCCCAACTCTGGGTGAAACGCCGCCGGGTTGCTGTCGGCATGCGGCTTACGATCGAGGTCGGGCACAATCACTATCGGGAACTCGAGCCCCTTCGACTGGTGAATCGTCATCAGACGAATCACTTCCGTCGACTCCGGCATGGTCGCCGCCAACGGTTCTGCCGGCTGTTTGGCAATGAACTCGGCCAACTGCACCACGAAGTCGTTTAAGGTGAACATGCCTGAACTGTCAAAGCGTCGCGCCGAATCAATCAGCTTGTACAAATTGGCCAGCTTCCGCTCGCCGAGAAACTCGGCCAACAGCGCTGCATCGTAGCCGGTGAGTCGCAGTGATTCTTGAATCAGTCCGGTAATCGATAGGCGGTCCTTCTTCGATCGCAGTTCTCGAATCACCGCGGCGGCCCGCGCCGCTCGTCGTTGTTGCTCCTTTTCGATCGCCGGATGATGATCCTCAGTAAACAGCCCTGCCGCGAGCCCTTCGGGATGCTGTCCCAGCCCGAACAGGGTATCGTCGCTAAGTGAAAAGAACGGGCTGCGCAGCACTCCCACCAGGCTTACTTCGTCGGCCTCGCTCGCCAACGTGCGAAGCAGATTTACCAGGTCGTAAATCTCTTGCTGTGCATAGAACGCCCGACCACCGACCAAGTAGTAGTCGAGCCCATATTCCCGCAGTGCCGATTCATACAGTTCGACATCCGAGAGTGCGCGAAACAGCAGCGCGAAATCGCCCAGGCGTGGTGGACGTGCCGCGGGTTCCTTGGAAGCCGAGTCCCACACAATGGGCTCACCACTGTCGAGCATCTGCCGAATACGCCGGGCGATCCAGTCGGCCTCGTGCTTGCGTCGCAGACCAACCGGAGTCTTGTCCTGGCGGTTCTTAATCTTCGCGTCTTCACCACTGACGGTGGCCCACAGAAACTCAATCGCAGGCGTCGGGGAAACTTGCTGCCGAAACGCATGCAGCGGTTCGTACGAATCTCCCATCGGTTCGCAAAACAGGGCGTTCACAAAGTCCAGAATCGCCGGCTGACTGCGGAAGTTCTGCGTGAGCGAGAGCCGGCCGCCCTCCGGCATTTCCTCCCGCAATGTGCGAAAGATTTTCGGTTCAGCCTGACGAAAGCGATAGATCGACTGTTTGAAGTCGCCCACAATGAACAACTTGCCGCTGAGCTTGCGTTCGCCACAGAGAGCCTCCACCAACTCGACCTGAAGCTGGTTGGTGTCTTGAAACTCATCAATCAGCAGGTGCTCTATGCCCGCAGCCACGCGACGACTGACGTGCGGATGCTCCGTCGAGGTGAGCAACTGCTTCGTGCGAATCATCAGGTCGTCGAAGTCGAGCGCGGCCAGCCGCTGCTTTCTTGCTTCGTACGCCGCGACAATATCTCTGGTAACTTCGAGCAACTGCAGACCGTACTTCGCCACCGGCAGGGCTTCCACCGGGTCGAACTCGCCGACGTCTTGAATGGCCTTGATCCGTTTCCGTAGTTTCTCCGCTTCTTTCTGAAAGAGCTGCCGCTCACTGGGGTCAGGCCAATCCTTCGCAGGGCTGGATCCTTTGATCTGCGCGTTGTCCTGCAGGATCTGGAGATGTTCGTGCAAACGATCGGTATCACCCAGTTCAGCGAACGTCGCCTGTAGGGTGGCAAACCGCTGCGCCATCACATCGCCCACGGGCTCAATCGTGTTGATGACTCGCTTCACTCGATCAACCTCAGCCGCCGAGACCAGCTTCCGTATGGCAATCAAATCGCGTTTCGATTCATGAAACGCCAACCAAGCCTGGGTTATCTCCTCGGGGCTCTTACCGCTCCATTCATCGAAGTCGATGCTGTGCCTGGCCGTGATGAATTGGCCGAGCATGATCCGTAGTTCGCGGAGCGAGTAGTCGACCATTAAGGCGAGCGTGGCTTCGTCTCTTTGGGCCAGGTTGTCGCGAAGCTGCGTGTCGATGGTTTCGGCCAGCAGCGTTTCGGTCGCCGCGTCGTCCAGCACGGTAAATCTCGGATCGAGATTGCATTCAACCGGGTATTGCCGCAATAGCGAGGCGCAGAACGCGTGGATCGTACTCACCCGGGCCGAGTCGATGTGGCGGTAGATCTCCAACCACTGCGAGGCCTCCTCCGGTGAGGCGTCCATCAATCGCTGGTGACACTTCGCCCGAATGCGATCTCGCATCTCGCGGGCTGCACGGTCGGTGAACGTAATGGCCACCAAGTCGCTCAGAGCGTTTGGCTTATTGCCGTCCGCAGGAGAGATGCTCGTTAAGAAGCGTTCGGTCAGTACGAACGTCTTCCCACAACCGGCCCCGGCTGAGAGCGCAATTGAAGCGTCGCGTTCGAAGATCGCGCGATGCTGCTCGTCGGTCAGGTGGTTGGTGCGGTTGGCGGTTGCCATGACTTCTCCAACGACCGAACTTGATTCACGCGACACACCGTGCTGAAGTCGCACGTGCTGGTGCACTGTTCGTCACGATTAAACATCGGGAACTGCCCCGCACGGGCACCGTGTACCAGCGACCAGACGCGATCGGACAGCCACTCACGGAGCTGGTCATACTCTTCGCCTCGTTGCAGAGTGGAGTTCACCACGCTGGCCATGCCGATGGCCGACTTGAACTCCGTTTTGCTGCTTCGCCCAAGCGACCAATAGCCCGCGGCAAAGGCAATCGCTGATTGAGAGCCAAGTAACACCTCTTCGGTGGCCAGCACGTACAGCGGCAACTGCAAAGCGTCTTTGTCTCTTAATGTCTGGAACTTTGCCCCAGGAATTTGCCCCGTCTTGTAGTCGAGCACGTTGAAGATCACTTCGCCGGCGGCTTCGCCGATGTCGATGCGGTCGATACGCCCCCCAACCTTGAATGACTCGCCATGGGCGTTTAACACCAAGGGCTCGCGCGTCGAAAGTGTGTCGTCGGACTGACGCTCCAAACCGAATGAAACTTCGAAGTGCTTGGGCGATGGCGGGTTTGAACAGCCCTCCCATTTTCCGTCGTACAGCTTGTGCGAATCGGCATAGCCGCTCAGATCGGCTAACAAGCGACGACGATCGATCAACCGCATGGCCCCGCCCACTGTGCGGTCGACTTCAGCCACATCCAACAGACGGGTGAGTTCCTCCTGCAGCATGGCCTCGAACTCTTCGAGTTCCAACGATGCCATCGATCGCGTGGCCACGGGATCGACCAGCAGCCGGCGATGCATCGCGGCCAGTGCATCGTGCGCCACCGACCCACGTCGACCGTAGTCGGTTTCGAGTTCCAATGCTTCGAGCGGCTGCAACCTCAGCACCCGTTCGGCAAAGAACTTGAACGGACAGGTGGCATATTGCTCGAGTTCCGCGGCCGACCAGACGTGGTTCGCCCCGAAGCGTTCACCCAGTCGATTGGCCGCCGCTGGGCCCAACACGCCTTCATAGGTGCCGAACTCCTGACGACTTTTTCGGTTGCCGTATACATCGACCGCCGCCAGCATCCCGCTGGCCACCGTGGCAGTTTCCGGAGCGGACCATAGTGAGGCCATCAGCGATGTCTCGCCTGCCAGCGCTTGCGACATGCCCAACACTCGCCACTGACCTTCGCTGTAAGGAAGCTCTTGCTGCGGGATGGGGCTCAGATCGTGAACCTCCACGGTCTTAATGGCCGTTTCACCGCAGGCCCGACGCAGGTCGGACAAGAAGGGGCTCGGCAGCAGCGGGTCGGCTTTTTCCGTCCACGCGGCGTAGCTCAGGAACAAACGTTTCGTGGCGCGGGTGAGCACTTCATAGAACAGCAGCATCTCTTCGCTGTGATGCTCAGCACGGTTTCGCAGCGCGAGCCCAGCGGCGTTCAACTCCGAGGCCTCCGACTCGTTGTACAAGCGATCGCCCGCATGAGACGACGGAAACACGTGCTCGGCCAAGTCTGCCACAAACAAGTAGGGAACGTGAAGTCCGCGGACCGATTGGGCCGACATCACACGAATGCAGCCGGTTTCATCGCTAATCTCGGGCAACCGCTCGTTGGATGCCAGGTCGGTCAGCAGCGTGAGCAACTCGGCCCGATCAATCGCCTTCGCGTTCCCCTCCGTATGCACGTCAATCTGTTCGAGCGATTCCAATAACTCGGTTAACCGCGCCCAAGCCAACTGGTCTTCGTCATCGAAAACACGTGCTGTATCTACTGGCTCTCCTGAGAGGCTTTTTTCAAGGTCGATCAATTCGCGAAGCGCCTCGGCCCAAGCCCGGGGCGTCGCTCGTTCAGGCAACGCATCGAGCGTAGTGGCCAGCCACTGGAACCAGGGCCATGCCTGTTGGAAAGGGATAGCGGAACTTTCGTACTCCGCTTCGGCCTCGCGCTGAACTCGGTGTTCGACCCAATTCAACAAGGCATGCCGTCCCTTGGGAATCTGAGCCCGTCGAATCACTCGTTCGGCAATGCGTGCACTCAGCGAGACATCTTCCTGCAACGGCCGCAGATAAGTGTTCGACAGCACGGCCAATAATTGATGAAATGGCCAATCATCGACATCGAGCCGCAGCAATGAAACCACGGCAGTGATGATCTTCGCATCGCCCAATTTGCGTGGCGATTCAAAAGAGGCCGGCAACCCGAAATCACGGAAGACCTCTCGAACCAGCGTCGCCTTTGCGCTTAGCGAGCGAAACACCACCACGATATCTTCAGGCCAAACGCGTTTCACGCCCGTTTCAGGGTCTCCCTCCAACAGCAACCGTTTGATCCGCAGCGCCACTTGTTGCAGTTCTGAAAGAACACCCCCGGCGGCAAGAATTTCAATCCCCGCGGTACCGGGCGCATCGCTCACTTCCCGCGGGTCGCGGAATAGCTGCTGTTCGATGTGCGAAAGCGCCGGCCACCAATCACGTCGCTCGAGTGTCTCGATGCGAACCGTTTCGTGTCGCTTGCGAAATTCATCCAGTGTAGTGAGCGATTTCTCAAACAGGTGCGAACGCGACGCGACTTCTGCTGTTGACGATTCGTCCGCCGAAGCGGGGTCCATTGGAAGGCTAACCAGCATTCGTTTGACGCGGTCGGCCAAGATCTCGAGCATTTCATGCTGCGTTCGCGTGAAGTCGGTGAACCCATCGGCGACGACCAACCGCAAGCGATCGAAGGGGCGGCGCTGCCCTCCCCGCAACATCGTGCGAGCCGACCAGAAGCGACCTTCGGCGTCATAAAGATGATGTGCGTTAAGCTCATCTTGATACGCTTGGTAAATCGTGAGCAACTCACGGTTCTTTGCCGACTTGCCCGTGCGGTTATAGATCTCGGCCAAGTGTTCGGGCCAAACCTCCAACCGTTTCAACTCGCCGATGAATTCGGCCAGCAGATCGACAAAACCTGCCGTGTTAGCAATCGGGCGGAAGTATTCGAGATGGTTCCCCTCGATTGCCGCGGCGACCAGATGACGAAGTAGATGCCGTTTCTGAAGCCGACTCACTCCCCGCACAGGAAGCGGAGAGGCGTCGATCACACTTTCAGCCAACGCTTCAAACGTCATCACACCGGGAGCGAGTGCTGCCCGTGGTGAAGTGACGAGGAGCTGATCGCGAACTTCTTGACAGCTACGATGCGTAGGCGAGATCCACAGAACGCTGCCCGGTTTCCCCTGTTCCAACTCAGCGCAGTAGATCTCCAACAGCCGTCGAGTCTTGCCCGAGGATGCTGGGCCTACCAGGATTTCGACCGCGGCCGTGGTCATGATGCTGGACTCGAAGTCTCATGAATCGATGCGTGACCAATAGGGCAGCAGGAAACGACCAATGTACATATGGCGACTACCCTGCCGCATGCTATCCGAACGCAGAAGTCGCTCCAAGCGGGTCGAAACTCCGTGACACAGTGTTCCGATTCGTCTTTGACCCAAAGACACCTCCGGTTACCGCACACCACTGATGGGTGGAGCTGGAATTCTGCCACCTTCGCCGCGACGACGAATGCAAGTTTCATCCTCTACTTGATGTCCTGCCCTGAACCCAAGAAAAGGCTTTGCTAGCAATGGTTTAGAAAGCCAAAGCCAAAGTGAATAAAACCACCAGAATCCACCCCCTCTCAGGTGGTGGATTTTTCCGGTGAAAATTAACCGAATTGTTGTTTGACACTGACGTTACGTCGGCGTTACACTCACAGAGTCTTCTACGGAACTTGGGGACTGTTCTGTTCATTTTTAGGGGCTCTCGGTGCGTTGTCCCCGCAGTTAGTGCCTGGTGGCATTATCCCTATCATTTTTGGTTCGAGGGAGGTGGATTCGATGTCTAGGAAATCTCGTCAAGGAGGCTTCACTCTAGTCGAGCTGCTGGTGGTCATTGCGATCATCGGTATTCTCATTGCCTTGCTGCTGCCAGCAGTGCAGGCCGCTCGTGAAGCCGCACGTCGTGGGCAATGCTCCAACAACATGAAGCAGCTTGGAATCGCCCTTCACAACTATCACAACAGCTTGGGCAGCTTCCCGCCCGCGTCGACCGGCCCGCCGAACATGGCTCCCGTGGGTCGCAGCTTGGATGGGACGAATACTTACAATGCCCCGGGAACAGCAACCAATTTCCCGGTCGATGTGCAAATTACCGATATCGACGATCCGGATCCGATTAACGGACGCGGTATGCCGTCAGGCCATTGCTATAGCTGGATGGCTCTAATTCTTCCCTACATGGAAGGTTCCGCGGTCAGCAACCGTATCAACTTCCGCCGCTTGACCTGGGATGCTACGAAGTACGAAGACCCGGATAACCCGAGCTCGCAGACCAACAACATCGCTACCGCTCGAATTGGGATTTCCAGCTTCCTTTGCCCGTCCTTTTCTGGCTCCAAATATGCCACCGGCAAGAACTATGCTGATGCTCAAGCTTCGAACGTGGGCATCACCAATTACCTCGGCTTTGGCAGTAGCACGCTAGCAAACCATTTCAGCCACAGCCAGGACGGTGTAATGATTTATCCCACGCCTTTCCAAAAGGCCGGGGTGAAGTTCAGTGCCATTCAGGACGGTTCATCGAACACGTTTCTCCTCGCGGAATCGAAGGAACCTGGGCTCTGCGCCTGGTATGAAGCATCGACCTCAACAATCTGGGCTCTGGCCTGGGAGCCAGGTGCGGCCACAGGTCTATTAGCCGGAAATTCGGGTACTATTCAGACTCTTGCCAAGGGTGAAAGCCCCAATACCAATCAGTACACGATTCCCAAGCCAGGCACTTTGGCTGCCTTGAACTTCGGTGGTGGTGAGAACGACCCACGCTCAACCGCAGCTGAGCCCCCGAAGGTCTACTTCCTTCGCATTACAGAAGGTGACCCATGGGCGGGATTCGGGTCTGATAACGGCAGCGACATCGACGTTCCCGCTTGGTTGTGGGGCCCCAGTTCCGATCACCCCGGTGGGGCCAATCACTTGATGGCTGATGGTAGCGTGACCTTCGTCAACGATGGTGTCGACGTGATTACCTACTACTCGACCTCCACCCGATCGGGTCGCGAGACCCAGTCGCTTACCGGCGGTCAATAGTCTAGTTTGCTAGGCTCCGCGTTGCTGAGGCAAACGGAGCAGACGTTTGCAACTTCACTGCTGCCCTCGCATCTTTTGCGAGGGCAGCAGTTTTCATTTACCAACCAAGTAACCTGTAGGCTTCTCCTGCTGGCCGTGGTTAACTTCGTATCGATGGATTCAGTACAAGCATGAATGCCCCTGACGGAAACGAAAACGAGATCCCCTGGGAAATCTCCTGTGTTGAAGTACACGCCAAGCTACAGGCGGGCGATGAGTTTCTGTTTCTCGATTGTCGTGAGCAGCAGGAGTTCGACCTCGTACAAATCGAAGGAACCCACTTGCTGCCGATGAGTGAGATCCAGCACCGAGTCGGCGAGCTAGAACCCCATCGCGAGAAGACCGTCGTAGTGCATTGTCACCACGGGGGACGCAGCCTGCAGGTGGTAGGCTGGCTGCGGCAGCAGGGCTTCGCAAACGCCATCAACATGGCCGGCGGCATCGACCAATGGGCCGCAGAAATCGACCCATCGCTACCACGCTACTAATCACGAGCCCACCAGCGTGCGATTTCAACGCCGACCGCCAAGGGCGACTTGACAAGAGTCACCCGTTGGCGGAAGTTGTGTAATTCAGAAGTTAGCCCGGGTGGCGGAACTGGCAGACGCGCAAGATTCAGGTTCTTGTCTCAGTAACTGAGGTGGAGGTTCGAATCCTCTCCCGGGCACTTCAATTCTCGCTTCGCAAACAAGCCTCATCGCAAAGCGGAAGCCGCAGGGCAGTGACCCTGCATTCACGTTACAGGTCCGATTTCTGAATCTGCTCGGGCCGCACGGCCATGTAGATCGAATCGCCTCGGGCAACCTCTTTCCCTTCGGCGTTCAACACCGTGCTTTCGGCATGAAACAACTGCCGACCCATCCGCGGGATCTTCGACTCGCAGACTATCACCCCCTCGGACACGGGGCGAAAGAATTTCACACGCAGGTCGACCGAGACAATTCCCCCACCATGCTGGGCCACATCCTGAAAGGCCTCGGTAAGAATCAGGGCATGGGCAATCCCCGTATCGATCAGCGAGGCGATAATCCCGCCGTGCATGATTCCCGCCGGCTGACACAGGTCGTTACGATAGGTCACCTGCGATTTCGACCAGCCCGGCTCCATATCCAGAATCTCAAGCCCGATCAGCTTGAAAAACGGAAACGACTGGGCCATCTCCAGCCAGCCCTCTTTGGACAAAAACGATGTCGGTTGCTCGGCCATAGCAGTTCTGAGTCCTCATCAGAAAGCGCGGGAGCGACCCTCTCCCCGTGAAGTCAAGGCAGCCTACACCTCCAAACTATCCACCATCGCGTCCTCGGCGACAAGTGACCGGCCGTCGTCGCTAATCCGTTACCTGCTTGCCCCCGCTAGAGAGTCTCACTCAGCCAGTCGTAGACCACGGCGTTCGATAGTGGGAGGTTCCCAAGCTGGCAGTGCATCTCCGCCCCTTCTTCCACCGAGAACACTCGCTGCGTAACCGGTCCGCGGACACTCTCGCAGAACAGGTCGAACTGCCGATTCGCCTCAGGGCCTTCCCCCGTACCAATCATGGTCAGCGTGGGGCAGCGAATGTCTGCCAGGCGATCAACCGCGGTGAAGACCTTCAGCCGCTCTTTCCAGGCCACGTCACTCTCCACACCAAACCGCGAGCAAGCCGCCTTGAACATCAACTTCTGTATGCGGGGCAGGAATTCGTCCGGAACCTCGTCCGTATCAACAACCATCAACGCCTCTGCATCTTCCAAATCATCATCGACGAAGCCGAGCATGTACTCCCGCAAGTCGACGATGGGAGAGTTCACGATTAAAGCTTTAATCCGGTCGTCGTGCTCTGCGGCCCGCGTGGTGAAGTACCCACCAAAGCTGATGCCGTACAGTGCCAGCCGCTGCGGATCGACCTCAGGCCGGTTCAGTGCCGCATCAATCATCGCCGCAATCGGTCGCTCGTAGTCGGGGCAAAACACACTCTCCGGATATCGCCGCCGGGTGCCGGTTTGACCGGGCCCTTCGGCGATCAGCACGTTGAACCCTCGCTCCAAGCCCGCCCGCGCGGTTTGAAAGTAAAGCTCTTCGGAGGTTCCATCAAACCCCGTGAGCACCAACACCGTTGGCCCCGCCCCTTCGCTTTCCTTGGGTGTGAGCAAATACCCAGGCAGCGTCATGTCATCAAATGGAATTTCGATCTCGGTGAAGGTGTCGTCGAGCAATTTCATCGCCCGCAGAAACGAACGATTGCAGGCCAGGCCCCGCTCCCGTAATTCGCTACTGAAGGGATCAGAAAAATATTCGGCCGAGCGCCAGTACATCGACGCCCGCAAAAAGTGATCGCGGGCAGTAACCGAATGCCCAGCCGCGGCAGCTTCCTCACCGGCTTTATCGACGTTCTTGGCCACCGCTTCGAACGCCGGCGGCCATTCCGCAGGATCTTCACTCGAGATTGCACCACGTCCGAAAAAGATCTCCCCGGCCGTACCTCCACCGTAATTTGCCGCGCCGAGAGACCGCATGAGCTGAAAATCCAGCTCGGGTGTCTTAAATCCACTCACCCGTGTCGTCGTACGTTCAACCTTCGGCATCGCTGTGCTCCTAGTAGGCGAGCGGCTTCATCATATTGCCATAGAATTGCTTCAAAATCGTAACATACGAATTGCACCGCGAATGAACTGTATTGCCTTGTTCTTCAACTCCCGCGGCGGCAATACCCCACAGGCTTCGTTGTTGTAGAATGGCGGAAATGCACAATTTCCGCATTAGGCAGGTCATGGGTGGCAGAAGGCAAACAAGGCTCGGTCGCAAAGCGAGAACCAAGCGGTGGAGTGGCCCGATTCGGACAAAACACAGGAACTAATCCTCGCCGCCCGGCGTGGTGAGTCGACCGCCGTCAACCAACTGCTGGATCGACATCGTGAAGCCTTGCGCCGCCTGGTCGATCTGCGAATGGACAACATGGTGAAGCGGCGCGTCGACGCCAGCGACATCGTGCAAGATGTACTGGTCGAAGCCAACCGGCGACTGCCCGGCTACCTCGAAGGTCCCACCATCCCGTTTCATTTGTGGTTGCGTGGCTTGGCTCGCGATCGAATGATCGACGCCCATCGCCGCCATCGCGTGGCCGGCCGTCGCAGTGTCGATCGCGAAGTGCCTTTGGCCGCCGGTGGAATATCAGGGCAGTCGGTGCTCGACCTGGCCCAACAACTCAACGACCCTCGCTACACGCCAGCCACTGCCGCATTGCAGCACGAACTGACCGAGCAGTTCCAGAAGACACTGGAAGAGCTGGCCGAGACCGATCGCGAAGTGGTCTTCATGCGGCACTTCGAACAGCTTTCGAATCAGGAGATCGCCCAGGCTTTAAACCTGACGGAAGCCGCCGCCAGCATGCGATACCTTCGCGCGGTGAAGCGGCTCAAAGCCGTCTGGCAGCAAAGTTCACAACCACCCGAGCATGGAGAGTAACCCCCCGTGGCCGAATCTCCCGCCTCTTCGTCACCGCAACCCAACACGTCGCAGATCGACGAAGCGCAAGAAGCCCGCCTCGCGGCCGTGGTCGCCGACCTGGCCGATCGACTATGCCGGGGTGAAGAAGCCGACGTTGAAGCTGCGGCCGCCGAACATCCCGAGCTGGCCGACGAACTCCGTGAGCTATGGCCTGCCATTCGGCAAACCGACTCCATCGCCCGGGCGTGTACTTCGTCGGTGAACGCCTCCACCGCGAGCGAGGCCGTTTCGTCTCAGCAATTGAAGTCCGAGTGGCTCGCGGCCCAGCGATTGCCCCGGCAATTTGGCGACTATGAATTACTCGAAGAACTCGGTCGCGGCGGAATGGGGGTGGTTTACAAAGCTCGCCAGACGAGCCTCAATCGGCTGGTGGCCGTGAAGATGTTATTGGGAGCCGAGAGCGCCTCGGATACCGAACGGGCAAGGTTCCGCACCGAAGCCGAAGCTGCCGCGAGTCTCGAGCATCAGCACATCGTCCGCGTGTATGAAGTGGGTGAGATCGACGAGCAGCTCTACTTTTCCATGCAATGGATCGAAGGTCGCACGCTGGCCGATCGCTTGGACGAAGGCCCTTTGTCACCAAAAGAAGCCGCCCAACTACTGGCCCCCGTATGTCGGGCGATCGACTTCGCCCACCGCAATGGCGTTTTGCACCGCGACGTGAAACCCTCGAACATCCTCATCGATCAACAACAACGCCCCCTGGTCAGCGACTTCGGCTTGGCGAAACAACTCAAAACCCGTTCCGGCCTCACGCGAACCGGCGCTATCGTCGGAACCCCCAACTACATCCCGCCGGAACAAGCCGCCGGAAACCGGGGTGAACTGGGCCCCTACAGCGATGTCTACAGCTTGGGGATGATCCTGTACGAAATGATGACCGGCCGCCCGGCTTTCCAAGCTGCCTCGCCACTCGACACGGTGCTGCTGGTTCTCGAACAAGACCCCTTGCCCCCGCGGTTGTTAAACGCCAAGGTGGATCGCGACCTGGAACTGGTGGCCCTGAAATGCCTGCAGAAGCCGGTCTCGCTGCGATACTCAAGCGCTGCCGCATTGGCCGACGATCTGGAGTCGTTCCTTTCTGGCGAACCGGTCGCCGCCCGCACCGGGGGCTTTGGGCAGATCCTGGCCCGTTGGTTTCGCGAAACCCACCATGCCGGCGTGCTCGAGAACTGGGGCCTGCTTTGGATGTGGCATAGCCTCGTGCTGCTGGTGCTGTGCCTCACGACAAATATGCTGCATTGGCTCGGCATCGCGCAGCCCTGGCCGTACGTCATTCTGTGGGCGGCAGGGTTGGCGATTTGGGCCCCCATCTTCTGGATGTTCCGCCGCCGCGCAGGGCCGGTGACGTTTGTCGAACGTCAAATTGCGCACGTTTGGGCGGCAAGCATGGTGGCCAGCGTCCTGCTGTTCGTCATCGAGATGATGCTGGAACTGCCCGTGCTTACGCTGTCGCCCGTGTTGGGGCTGATCGCCGGGATGGTCTTCTTCATCAAGGCTGGTACGCTCAGCGGCGCGTTTTACTTTCAGTCCGCCGTGTTGTTTCTCACAGCGGTGCTGATGGCCGCCCTGCCCGACCACCGCATCAGCACCGTGCTCCCCGGGGTGATCAACCTGCCTCACGAAGGGATCGAACTGCCCGACATCGGGCTGACGATCTTTGGCTTCGTCGTCGCGGCTTGCTTCTTCTTCCCGGGGCTAAAGTACTATCGTCAACGACTTGCCGCCCACACCAACGGCGGGCAAGACATCGTGAGGAGCGATCTCAACTCTGCGTCGAAAGTTGATGCAACCAACTCTGTGAGTTAGCACTGTCAACAAGCACATCGAACGAGGGAACGAATGCGGGTTCTGGTTACCGGTGCAAGTGGTCAGTTGGGGGCCTACGTCCTTCAGCACTACGTCGAGCGAGATGTTCTCTGCGTTGCCTGGAGTGGTCGCAATTCTGGGGAACTCCACGGAGTACCGCTGCAGCCCGTTGACTTGGCCCGTACGGATGAGATTGAGAAGCACCTCAATGCCGCCGCGCCCGATTTGATCATCCACTGTGCGGCCATGTCGGCCGTGGGCGAAGCATTTCAAAACTCCGAGCGAGCCGAGCTGATTAATGCCACGGCAACCGAGAGAATCGCCGCCTGGAGCACCGAGCGAGAGTGTCGACTCGTCTATATCTCGACCGACATGGTCTTCGATGGTGAAAAGGGTAACTACGGCGAGGACGACGAGGCGAATCCGCTCTCCCGCTACGGCCGCAGCAAGCTCGAAGGCGAGCCACCTGTTTTGCGTTCACCCCAAGGTCTGGTGATTCGCGTCAGTTTGCTCTACGGAACTTCACTCATAGGGCGCCCAACGTTCATGGAACAACTGCTAGCGGCCATGCGCGAGGGTAAAATATTTCGATTGTTCGACGACGAATGGCGGACCCCGCTCGATCTGTCTACCGCCGCCCGAGGCATCGCTGCAGCCGCCGAGAGCGAAACCGCAGGGCTCTTGCACCTGGGCGGAGCAACACGGCTCTCACGCTACGAGATGGGCCTGCAGATCGCCCAAGCGGCAGGCCTCCCGACCGAATCGATCGAAGTCGTTTCCCGGCTTAGCATCGAAGGTGGTGAACCCCGCCCCAGAGATCTGAGCCTCGAGTCCGGCCGGTTCGACCGTCTGTTCCCCCAGGTGGCCCGGCCAAACTTCACTGAATCGCTGCAGTGATAGCTCCCTGGCCATGGAGCGGAAGACGGCCGCAGCTACACAGTAGAGCCTCAACGGCTTCATCGGGCCATTTTCCCTTTACAGAGAGGAAATCCCCTCTGCATGGTGCCCGTCCATTGGGGCATGCGAGCAAGCCGCAGATGGCAGCACTAACCCATTAGAATCCAATACCTTAGGGCACCGATGGGCTTTCCAACGGGGGGCAAGCGCCGCCAGTTTTGGTTTACTCGCTTCTCCAATCCCCTTACCAGCCAACACTTTTCTTCAAAATTCTTCCAAATTTTAGTTGTCCAGATAATTGGTGGTAGTTAGACTGCAAACCAATTCGCTGGCTATCGATATGGCCAGCCGGATATTGGATGCACAGTTTTGCAGTGCCCTTCGGCCTCCGAAGGGAACGGGCGCCGCCAGCTGTAATCCGAATGGAAACAAACTGTTTGCACCAACCTCGAAAGGCATGCTCATGAGAAAATCCTGGTGTACTGCGACGCTCGCAGTAGTCCTTGCATTTATGGCAAGCACTGCTCAGGCCGCAACGATCTCCGACTCGGGAAGCTTTTCTTTCCCGCTGTCGCCTAACTCCGCATTAGTCACGCTGGACTTATTCAATCCCGCGCTTGGCACCTTGACCGCCGTTGAACTTGCTATCGACGGTACGGTCCAAGCCAATGTCACTGCCGAAAATGATTCTGGCATCGCCGGCAACATGAGCGTGAACCTCACCGGCATCCTCGATGCCTCCGCTCCTGGCCTCTCGGCTTCAGCGAACATCATCCAAGGCGCCGGCCCCGTGGCTGTGTCAGCCACCGATGGTAACGCTGGTTCGGGCCCCGACTTCAACGACTTCGGCTTGGTATCGGGTACCGATTCGGACGACGACCTGACTTTGTCCGTGGCCGCTTTCCTTGGACCTGGCACATTCAATGCGAATGTGAACGGCTCCGGTGGGTTCGCTGTCAGCGGTGTTACCGACAGTACTCTGCAAGTCTCCGACTTCGAAGGCTTCGGCACCGTGACGGTTACTTACACTTACAACCCAGTGCCTGAACCCAGCACGATGGTGCTTGGTGCCATGGCTCTGGTCGGACTGTCGATCGTCGGCTATCGCCGTCGTAAGTAACACTCCGATTAAGTTGTGCTGACAACATTCAGCCGGCCTCTGATATGATTCGGAGGCCGGCTGTTTTTTTGTTTACGCCCAACCTCGCACCTTCGCCGTTTCCTCTCGAACACCCTCCCGTGCATGCCCAACGGTTTCCCGACTCCATCGTGGATTGCCCGCAGCGCCAGAACGATTGCCCCCGGCATCCTGGTCGCCGCCACAGGGGTTGGGGCGGGTGACTTAATGACGGCCAGCATTGTCGGCTCCGAGGCCGGCACGATTGTGCTCTGGGCCGTCGTCCTGGGGGCCGTGCTTAAGCTGGCCATAACCGATGGCATCGCCCGTTGGCAGATGGCCACCTCGACCACGCTGCTCGAGGGTTGGGTCCAGCGTCTGGGGCGTTGGATTCAGATCGTCTTCGTCGGCTATTTGCTGGTGTGGTCCTTCGTCGTTGGTGGAGCCTTGGTCACGGCCTGCGGGGTGGCCGTCTCCAGCATCTGGATCCGGCTTGGCATCCCGCTCCCCGCGGCAGGCGATCAAGGCGCCGTGCTGCTGAAGATCATCGGTGGCGTTATCCATTCACTGCTGGGGCTGGCCCTGGTGCTGTGGGGCGGCTACCGCTTATTCGAACGGGTGATGTCGGTGTTCGTCACCCTCATGTTCATCACTGTCGTGGCGGCCACCGTGATGATCGGCCCCAACTGGAGCTCAGCCGCCGCCGGGCTAATCGTGCCCAAGATCCCGGCCGAAGGCTTCAGCCATGTACTGGCCCTGGTGGGCGGCGTGGGAGGCACCGTCACCGTGCTTTGCTATGGCTATTGGATCCGCGAAGAAGGCCGCCGCGGAACCGAGGGCTACCGCATCTGCCGCATCGACCTCAGCGTGGCCTATGCCCTCACAGCGCTGTTTGGCATCTGCATGGTCCTCATCGGCTCGCGAATCAACCTCGAAGGCAAGGGGGCCGCCCTCGCTTCGCAGTTGGCCGAAGAGCTTTCCGCCTCGCTCGGTGCCGTAGGGCCCCTGGCCAGTTGGCTGTTCCTCATTGGCTTCTGGGGCGCCGTCTTCTCCAGCCTGTTGGGCGTCTGGCAGGGAATCCCCTACCTGTTCGCCGACTTCCTCGCCATCCGTTCTGGCCGAAGTGCGGCTGCCCGCGAGGAGATCGATCTCACGCAGAGTTGGGCCTACCGCGGCTACCTCATCGCCATGGCGTTGGTCCCACTCGTGCTGCTGGGCACGTCGGTTCGTCCCCTGCAGATTGTGAACGCCGTGCTGGGGGCCTGCTTCATGCCGCTGCTAGCGCTCACACTGCTGATGATGAACAACCAACGCCGCTGGGTGGGCGACCAACTCCGCAACGGCCCCCTGGTAAACGCCGTGCTGCTGTTCACCGTGGCCCTATTCACCGTCGCCGGCGGAATCGAGCTGTATCACATCGTTACGAATTCGTAAGCTCGGCACTTTGCTTTCTGCATTGCCCGAGCCGCATCGCAACCTAGTGCAGCGTCGTCCCGCCGTTCACCGAGATTTTCTGCCCGGTAACGAACTTTGCGCCGTCGGATGCCAGGTAGGCCACCGCTTCGCCAATGTCTTCTGCATCCCCCATGTGCCCCATGGGGACCGCCGCGGCGTAAGCGTCTTTGTCTTCCTGCGGATCGTCCTTATGCCGCTCGGTGGGAATCCAACCGGGTGCTACATGGTTCACCGTGATCTGCCATTCGGCCAGTTCCATTGCCCAAGAGCGCGTGAGCCCCAACTGGGCCCCCTTGGCCGACACGTAGTTCGAAAACTTCGGCACTCCCCGCTCGAACACCTCGGAGCCGATGTTGATGATCCGCCCGTGTTTCCGCTCCTTCATGCCGCCCACCACCTGTTTCGCCAGCAACAAGGGGCTCTTCACGAAGAACTCTAACTGGTCCAGACATTCTCGCCAGGAAAGCGACTCGATGGGAATAAACGGCTGCGGTCCCGTGGCGTTGATCACCAGAATATCGACCGGCCCCAGGCTGTCTTCCACGGCGCGAACCAGGTCGGCCACCTCTTGCTCGTCGCACACATCGGCCTTGAAGGCCTTGGCCTCGCCGCCGGCTGCCTCGATCTTTTTGACGACCGCTTCGGCCTTCTCGGGGCTAGCGAAGTAGTTCACGGCGGTTTTGGCCCCGCACCGGGCCAGGCTCGTGGCAATTGCCTCGCCCAAGCCCCGCGATGCCCCGGTTACCAACGCCACGCGTCCCTTAAGATCGTGCTGCACGTCTAACTTCTCCTCGTAAATTCCAGCCTGAGAACCCCGCCGGCTTGGCCTTGCGGGTGTCGCATGCATTCCGGATACTGACTTTCTCTGGGGAGTGCATCCCGCCACAAACCGCCCTCTGTAACCGCCCAGCGCGGCGATTTCAAGCGGTGGGGCGATTGCGGAGTACATAAATCTTGGCACCAGACTTCCATCAGGAAGTCTCGAAACGCGCCGTCTCGCCAGAGATTTACTCACGAATGGTTTCGGCACCGCCGCGCCTGATCAGTTCAGCCACACCCGCGGAATGTTCGTCGCGGCGGAATAATTCAACACACAATCACCAGCCGCCATCGATCATATGATCCGACGGCGATGCGATTCGCGCCACGCATGAGCGCTGAGTTAGCGACTGAGGTCCATGGGGATACGTAACTGGCCCGGCTACCTGCTGCAACGAGCAAGAACGAAGCTTGAAGGTGCGTTCGACCTCGAGTCGACCGGGCGGCTGATCGTCTACAGCATCATCGTCGGCGCCATCGGCGGGCTGGGGGCCGCGGGCTTCTATTACTGCCTTGAAGCCGTTCAAGAGTTCAGCTTCAGCGTGATGATGGACTACGAACGGCCCGACGCCGGAACCGAAGGCGACGGAGACGGCGCGTACCATCTTCCCCAACGATGGTGGGCCGTGCTGCTGGTACCAACCATCGGTGGCCTGTTGTGCGGACTGCTCGTTTACACCTACGCCCCAGAGGCCGAGGGACACGGTACCGATGCTATGGTGCGGGCGTTCCACCGCCAGAAGGGTGTCATCCGCGGACGAATTCCGATCATCAAATCGGTCGCCAGTATCCTCACCATTGGCTCCGGAGGTTCCGCCGGTCGCGAAGGGCCCATCGCGCAAATCGGCGCGGGCGTCGGTTCTCTCATGGCAACCAAGCTGGGACTTAGCGACTTCGAGCGACGTTACCTGATGCTCGCCGGAGCGGCCGCAGGGCTGGGGGCCATCTTCCGCGCCCCCTTGGGATCGGCCCTGTTCGTGGGCGAAGTTCTGTACGCCAGCACGGCTATGGAGTTCGCCATGTTGGTGCCCGCGGTGATGGCCTCGGTGGTGGCTTACACGGTTTACTCCTCGATCTACGGCGTGGGGTTTGCCTTCAATACCCCCAAGGGACCCGATGCCTTCATCTTTCACGGCGCGGCCGAACTTCCCTTCTATGTCGTGTTCGCCGTGCTGTGCTCGCTGGTGGGGCTTGTCTACATCTCGTTCTTCTACGGGCTCCGCGACCGGTTCTTCCGTAAGATTCCGATCCCCAACATCTACAAACCGGCCATTGGCGGGTTCATGGTCGGGGTCATCGCGTTGTGGCTCCCACAGATCATGGCCGGTGGCTACGGTTGGGTGCAAATCGCCATCGATGGCGAGTGGGGGAGCGATCCCTGGTCGGCCATCCGGCTGATGCTGATTCTGGCCGCCGCCAAAATTGTGGCCACTAGCTGCACCATTTCCTCCGGCGGTAGCGGTGGTGTCTTCGCGCCGTCGCTGTTCATCGGAGCAATGCTGGGCGGAGCCTATGGGCTGGCCTGTCAACAACTCTTCGGCGATTTCTACGTCCCACAGCCGGGAGCCTACGTACTGATTGGCATGGCCGGGTTCTTCGCCGGGGTGGCTAAGGTGCCGCTCACTTCGCTGTTGATGGTGACCGAGATGAGCGGG